GCTGCTTCAGGGTTGGACGCTGCCAATCAGGAGGTGCTCCTTTCGCAGCCTTGGTCTGCTCGGACCCTGTTTAATAACAAGATCCCTGGGGTTCTGAAGGAACAACAGGCCGCTGTGTCTGCCGAGGCCTCTCGGCACACACTGGATCTTGTGGGGTCCTTGCATAGGCGCCTGGGTGCCGCTCCGAAGCGGAGCGCGCCCCAGGATGCTGCGTCCGGCAGGCCTAAGGGGTCGGGTCCTTCTTCCTCCGGGAAGAAGCCCCGCTCTGAGGGCTCCGGTAAGGGTTCTCAGCAGCCCTTTTGCGGGAAGAAGGGGAACTGGGGGAAGCCCAAGTCGTCTAAGGACGGCAAGGGCCCCTCCAGGTGACTCTCATTGGAGGGGTTCGTGTGCCGACAGCGCCAACTTCGGTTGGCCCGTAGGCGAACCCGAGTCACTTGGCCCTGGACAGTTGCACCTGCCGCAGCCCGTCCGGCCCCCCTCTCTTTCCCCAGTGGGAGCCAGACTCCAGACTTACTGGGAGAATTGGGAACAAGTGTTCGACGACCCGTGGGTGGTCAACACGATTCGGTACGGCTATCGGCTCGATCTCAAAGCGAATCCGCCGCTCACCGTTGCCCCGTCGGCAGGTTTCTATTCGGAAACCGATCTTCCCTTCCTCGCCGATGCCATCGGCAGGTTGGTGGAGAAGGGGGCAGTTCGGGAGTTAGCTCTACCAGAAATAACACCGGGGTTTTACTCCAGGATATTTCTCGTTCCCAAGAAGGACAGTGCCGAACTCAGAATGATTCACAACTTGAAATCGTTCAACGAGTTCTACCTGCGCAAACCGCCCAAGTTCAGAATGTTGAGCTTGACGGACCTGAAAGCACTGATCATGCCGGCCGACTGGCTAGCTTCGATCGACCTGAAGGATGCTTATCTGCATGTTCCGATTCACTCGGATCATCACAAGTATCTCAGGTTTGTCTTTCAAGGCAGGCACTACGAGTGGGTTGTACTCCCATTCGGTCTTTCATCCGCTCCCTGGCTGTTCACCCGGTTAACCACCCCCATAGTGGGGTTCCTCCACCGGAGGGGTGTCCGGTACTTCGCGTACCTGGACGACTCGCTAGTAGCAAATCGAATGTCGGACCCCCTGTCACGCCATCTCGTTTTCGCACGTCGGCTCTTGGAGCAATTGGGGTGGATTGTCAATCTCCCCAAGAGCGAGTTAACCCCTTCTCAGAACTTGCAGTTCATCAGAGGTCGGTTCAACACGGTGTCCTATCGCCTATTTGTCCCCCCAGACCGGTGGCACAAAATTCAGGCGATGATTGCCAAAGTCTTTGCGGTGCAACAGACTGTTCACTTTTGGGAACAGCTGTTAGGGCTACTTGTATCAGCCCAGGACTGCACCAAACGGGGTCGTCTCCAACTCCACCCGCTGCAACGGTTTTTAATCCAGTTGTTAGCAACGGAGGTGAACAGTGCGACCGTCGCCCTCCCGGATCGGCTCCGACCGCATCTGGAGTGGTGGACGCTCCCTTACAATGTCCTATCAGGAGTCTCTATGCGGCCCTACCGGGCCACGTTGAACCTGTATACAGACGCCTCTCTAGTGGGCTGGGGCGCCCATCTAGAGGGGGAGGTGAGCTCGGGGCTGTGGTGCGTAGACGAACTAGGTCTTCACATCAATTGTCTCGAGTTCAAGGCAGTGATCAACGCAGTCAATCACTGGAAGCATCGTCTCGTCGACGCCCAGCTCATGCTGTCGACCGACAACACGACGGTAGTGTCCTATGTGAACAAACTGGGGGGAACCCACAGTCACTCGCTACTCGATCTCACGTTCGAGTTTTACGCTCTGGTGGACAGTGTCCCGTGCCAGATACGCGCCCGTCACATCCCAGGTGTGCGGAACGTACTGGCCGATGCTCTATCGAGGCCTCAGGATCCGAGCCCCACAGAGTGGATGCTGAACCCAGTAGTGTTTCAGTGGCTGTGCGAACGTTTGGGTCGTCCGATGGTCGACCTGTTCGCAACACGGTTCAACAATCAACTCCCGTTGTTTGTATCACCAGTCCCGGACCCGAGGGCCATCGATCACGATGCTCTCGCGTTAGACTGGACGGGCTTGGACGCTTATGCTTACCCGCCGACAGCGTTGATACCACACATTTTAAGCCGGCTTCGAGGAGTTCGCTGTCGAATGTTACTGATCGCGCCCATGTGGCCGAACAGATCGTGGTACCCCGACTTGCTGACCCGGGTCACGCAGTCGCCACTCCCACTGCCTGTGAGACCGGATCTCTTGATCCACCCTCACACCCGTCAGCTTCATCCAAACGCAGGGCAGTTCAATCTGCACGCGTGGATGTTGTCACCGAGCGTCTGAGGAGTAAAGGTTTTTCTCGCCGGGCGTCTCGGGCATACGTTAGTATGCATAGTGATTCTACCCAGAAGGTGTATAATGCACGTTGGGTTATTTTCACGAAGTGGTGTTGTAATCATCACATTCATTCGCCAGATAAGGTATCTGTGCAGGATATTGCTCGTTTCATGTCTCACTTGCGAGAGACCCGGAAACTCTCCGGGGGTTCCATTGCCAACTATGTCTCGTCCGTTGCTACAGTACGGGACGTTGCTATGGGTACCAGTCTCTCAAAAGAGCCGGTGATACCGGGTATTATCAAGGATTTCAAACAGCACGATCTTAAGAAGGGCCGCCTTCGGGCACCGGCCTGGGATCTCTCCCTAGTGTTGCAATCACTTACGGAAGCTCCGTATGAACCCTTGCATAGTGCTTCGTTCCGGCATGTGACTTGGAAAACAGCATTTCTCCTCTCCTTTGCCACGGCGGCACGTGTATCCGAAATTCATGCACTCGATGTCGCCAAGGTACGATTCGATAGGGGTGACGAAGGAGCGGTCCGCCTGGGCCTGCTCATGGGCTTCGTCGCCAAGAATCAGAGAGTCGGGCAAACGGAGAGAGAATTCACTGTAAGATCCCTCAAAGAAATCTTACATCCTGCTGATACTGAGGACAGAGCGCTGTGTCCGGTTAGGGCCCTTAAGTATTATCTTAAGGCTTCGAATGAACGTAGACAAGGGCGTGACCGTCTGTTCATATCGTGTAACACTAATCGCACGGTTGACATAACTCGCAACTCGATTGCGTTGTGGCTTCGTTCTGTCATCAATCTGGTGTACCGGTCTCGGGGGTTACCGGTAGCGGGGTCAAACCCGCACGAGATCAGGGCGCTAGCGGCAACATTTGCCCTACACTCGAATATCTCTGTTCACAGAATATTACGAGGTTGTTACTGGCGTTCTGACTCAGTTTTTGCCAATCATTACCTCAGAAAGGTTTCTGATGAAGACGTGGAGGGGGTGCACCGTCTTGGGCCGCTGATCGCGGCACAAGCGGTCATCTAGGGGGTGTGTCCAGCGCAATTCCAAACTCCGCAGTCGTCAGTCCTTGCACGGTGGTCAATCTGGGTCGTCTCCAATGTTCCCACGCCGTGGGTACAGGAGTGGGGGTCCTGCAAACCAGCGCACTCACACCACAGGTGAGGCGGCTTTTTGTGTGTTTTGTCCTTATTTGTATTTTGACAATTATGCATTTAATTGTCTGTCGTGTATTCCAACCTTGCGATACATGCTTACGAATACTGGAATTAGGTCACGCGCCTAATGCATACTTTAAGTAGGCTTGCTCTGGGATATACGGTCTGAAGGAAATTAATTTCCCTCTTTTCGACTGTTTAACCGGATCTTAGATTTAGCTCACGCGGATACAGTGTTCTCATCCGCGGCGGCGATGAAATACCTATCCAGTGGGGCCGTTTGGAGTCACCAATCGTTTTGGCATTGACGATTGAGCCTTACGGTATGCGCTTGACAGTGCTTTGGTATTCCTATAGGGTAACGCCTAGCTAGGTGCATGCGCATCGAGTGCTTCCGCCTTGGTGTTTACTTCCGCTGGTCGGAAGGAACGCTAGCAGTCAGGATTCGGGTTGTAGGTGCTCCCCACCGCCTACTGTGGTAGTCAGCCTCGGTATAACAGTGGTAACGTATTACTTAATGTAATTTGTAGAATTTTCCTATTCGGAATATTCTATAAGTAATACGTTACCACTGGGCTGCTGCCCGCCCGTCCGTCCCCCGAGCACTTGCTCTCGCAGGAGACAAGAGTGAAGGGTGTCACATGGCAGCTAGGTGGCTACGCACGTGCTGCATGAGGTAATTGAGATCTCTGTGGTAGATTTCGCTATAGCAGCAGTTGTGGGAGACAACAGCCTCGGTATAACAGTGGTAACGTATTACTTATAGAATATTCCGAATAGGAAAATTCTACAAATTTTTCGCAGAACATAAATATATGCTTTCAAAGGTTGTTGTGTAACGTCACAGATGTTTGTATTTGCTTGTGGTGTCGTTGATCTTCATATCGGCTATCGATACAGATCATAGAGATCGATAATCATTAACTAAATATCAATCAATTATCGATAAATATTGGTGAATTATCTTTGAGCAAATATGCAAAAGACAAAAATCGTAAAGAAATCAACATATTTCACTCCACTGGGGAGTGGTGGCACATTTATTCAGGGATTACTTTGTGGACATTTGACATATAACAAAAAGAGTAACTGTTACTTTCCATCTTCAGCAATTAATATTATTGACAATAACAAGTCTGTTTTGGTAAATCTAATCTTTATTTCATTACAATAGTTTATGTAAGGTATTATCGATAATCGATAATATTGCTTCCGAACAATGATAATTCCGAAACAATGATAATTCCGAACAATGATAATTCCGATTATCAATCTTTTTTGCCAGTCCTAACGGCAATGGCTGCAACTCTCTGGGACTCTCACTAATCTGGACCTCACTATATTACACTATTGTTCTCGTGCGTCTGGTTTAAGCATATTCCACTATAATTTGTTGTAGAGAACAGCTGCAACTTTCTATGATGTAACACCTTCTCATCACTTCATGTTCTTCAGGAGAATTGCAACCTGATTCTGTCGGGTGACTACAGCCCACAGACCAAGGTGGCCATGGCGCAGCTCAACGAGAAGGAGCTGTCGTTCGAGCTGATCGAGTCCATCCTGCGGTACCTGAAGCAGCTGAAGGTGCCGGGGGCGGTGCTGGTCTTCCTGCCGGGCTGGAACCTCATCTTCTCCCTGCAGAAGCACCTGGAGGGCAGTCCCGAGTTTGGTCAGTCAATAGCATCTATTTTCATACTCCGAGGCAGTGTAGTTCACATAGCAATCCTGGGGGCGACTATGCTTGGCGTAAGAGGCGATTACGGGATCGGGTGGTCAGGCTTGCTGACTTGGTTGTTGCATGTCATTGTATCCCAATTGCATGGATCAATGCTCATGATATCAAACACTGGATTGTCTGGTCCAGACTTGACTATTTACAAACTGCCGTCGTATAGCTGGAATATTGCTGAGAGTGGCGTTAAACCACAAACCAAACCAAACAAACAAAACATAGCATCATAGCATTCTACTGTGACATCATGTATGTCTCACAGTTGTTTAAGCAGCGTAGGAAGAATAATAATATCAGAAAACTATGACAACTCTTTAGCTCACTTTCTCGTTGCCATTTGTCCGGATCCAGAAAGGTCATAAATTTGGTGACCCTAAGTCTGTTAGATCTCCCTGACACTATCATGGTTTGTGTTCCCAGGAAGCTCATCGTATCGCGTACTCCCCCTTCACTCCCAGATTCCCAGGGAGGACCAGCGCCGAGTCTTTGACCCCGTGCCAGATGGAGTCACCAAGGTAGGTGTTTTCAACTAAACAGTTTAAACAATGTGCCATCATGTGTGTATTTGAGTTGTACCAACCCCTAAGATTCTGAATTTTGACCAACACCGAGTCTTTGATCCATACAAGACGAAGTCACCAACTACAGATGTGAAACTAAGCTTGAGTAGATTGCTCAAATATAATACCGCTACATAAGTATTTCAGTTTCCATCCGGGGGCACGGGTGGCCCAGTTGCCTAGGGTGCTAAGATTCGCTGCCCAGAGTTGCGTCCCTTGGGCACGCCAGAAACCTATGATTATGGGTTCGAATCCCGGTTCACCCTGATTATGTTTCTAGGTTTGTCAGCACCATTCCGTGCTCGTGGGTTTCACCGAAGTGGTAAATGTCTTGAGACCTGCATCACCTCGGGCTTTCCTCCCACATTAATCTGACACGCCACTATATAACTGGAATACTGTTAAAAGCGGCGTAAAACTCACTCACTCACTCACCGTGAAACCGTGAAATTGCTGACTGCAGCAATAACTCTGCCATCTTGTGATGTTTCAGATCATCTTGTCCACCAACATTGCTGAGACCAGTGTGACGATAGATGATGTTGTGTTTGTCATCGACTCCTGCAAGTAGGTTGTGTGTTGTGGATTCCTTGCTTGACTATCTGTACGATTGTTATAGGTTCCCTGGTCCCATTCTCCACCATACAAGGGGTGCCTAAAAAGTTCCTCCACAACAGTTTGCATATATTGAGTACAATACTTTCCATGCATGCTTATATGGTGCATTAGACATCCACGCCACCCTAACCCATGCCAGCTTCCCCCTCCAAACACAAACCTACACACACACACAAGCACACATGCTCACACTCACACACATACACACACATATAAACACAAACTCACTCCTAGACACCCACACACACACACACACTCACTCTCAAACTCTCACACACACTTACACACACACATAAACACCAATCCGCTCCTAAACAGATAGTCACATGCACACGCACACACACACACACACACACACATCACACACGAACACACACACACACATCATGCACACACACACATACATACACACACTTATACATGGATGCACTCAGTTTGTGACTGGCATCTTTACATCCATCCTATCATTCCAGAGCCAAGATGAAGCTGTTCACGTCCCACAACAACATGACTAACTATGCCACTGTGTGGGCATCCAAGACCAACCTGGAGCAGCGACGGGGGCGAGCGGGGCGAGTGAGGCCCGGCTTCTCTTTCCACCTGTGTAGCAGGGCCAGATTTGACAAGTAAGAGAGGTCGAGTGAGGCCTTGCTTTGCTTTCCACCTGTGTAGCAAGACCAGATTTGACAAGTAAGAGAGGTCGAGTGAGGCCCGGCTTTGCTTTCCACCTGTATAGCAGGGCCACATTTGACAAGTAAGAGAGGTCGAGTGAGGCCCGGCTTTGCTTTCCGCCTGTGTAGCAGGGCCAGTTTTGACGAGTAAGAGGGGTCGAGGGAGGCCCGGCTTTGCTTTCCACCTTTGTGGCAAGGCCAGATTTGACAAGTAAGAGAGGTCAAGTGAGGCCCGGCTTTGCTTTCCACCTTTGTGGCAGGGCCAGATTTGACAAGTAAGAGAGGTCGAGTGAGGCCCGGCTTTGCTTTCCACCTTTGTGGCAAGGCCAGATTTGACAAGTAAGAGAGGTCAAGTGAGGCCCGGCTTTGCTTTCCACCTTTGTGGCAGGGCCAGATTTGACAAGTAAGAGAGGTCGAGTGAGGCCCGGCTTTGCTTTCCACCTTTGTGGCAAGGCCAGATTTGACAAGTAGGAGAGGTCGAGTGAGGCCCGGCTTTGCTTTCCACCTGTGTAGCAGGGCCAGATTTGACAAGTAAGAGAGGTCAAGTGAGGCCCGGCTTTGCTTTCCACCTGTGTAGCAGGGCCACATTTGACAAGTAAGATGGGTTGAGTGAGGCCCGGCTTTGCTTTCCGCCTGTGTAGCAGGGCCAGTTTTGACAAGTAAGAGGGGTCGAGTGAGGCCCGGCTTTGCTTTCCACCTTTGTGGCAAGGCCAGATTTGACAAGTAAGAGAGGTCGAGTGAGGCCCGGCTTTGCTTTCCACCTTTGTGGCAAGGCCAGATTTGACAAGTAAGAGAGGTCGAGTGAGGCCCGGCTTTGCTTTCCACCTGTGTGGCAGGGCCACATTTGACAAGTAAGAGAGGTCGAGTGAGGCCCGGCTTTGCTTTCCACCTTTGTGGCAAGGCCAGATTTGACAAGTAAGAGAGGTCGAGTGAGGCCCGGCTTTGCTTTCCACCATTGTGGCAAGGCCAGATTTGACAAGTAAGAGAGGTCGAGTGAGGCCCGGCTTTGCTTTCCACCTTTGTGGCAAGGCCAGATTTGACAAGTAAGAGAGGTCGAGTGAGGCCCGGCTTTGCTTTCCACCTGTGTAGCAAGGCCAGATTTGACAAGTAAGAGAGGTCAATTGAGGCCCGGCTTTGCTTTCCACCTGTGTAGCAAGGCCAGATTTGACAAGTAAGAGAGGTCAAGTGAGGCCCGGCTTTGCTTTCCACCTGTGTAGCAGGGCCAGATTTGACAAGTAAGAGGGGTCGAGTGAGGCCCGGCTTTGCTTTCCACCTGTGTGGCAAGGCAAGATTTAACATGTAAGAGTAGTTTCATCTCGACATTGCCTATAACTGTTTTGGGGACTGCAACTCAAAGGGGAAGCCCAGTATCCGCCAGTCATGTTCACATAGTGCTTCACAATCTGTGAAGACAATACCATGATATTGATGGCATATAACTAGAAGCTGCATAAAATCCAACTCACTCCCTGTTGCCTCAAACAATATATTTAGTCACCTTTCATTAAATATTCTTTTGACGAAACTCAAACTGTTAAATATTTTCTTCAAGATTGGACCAACACACAACACCCGAGATTTTCCGTACTCCTCTCCATGAGCTTGCCTTGTCAATCAAACTACTAAGACTGGGTCCGATTGCCCAGTTCCTGGCCAAGGCCGTGGAGCCCCCACCCCTGGATGCCGTCATTGAAGCTGAAGCTACTCTGCGAGGTAGGTGGCTACAGTGTCACGATGGTGATGAAAGATTGTACAGCCATGTACACACCCTGTACAGCACAACCTCATTACATGAGTAAAAACTCAGTGGTTCAAACCGTTATCTAGATCTCTGCGTGCTGGTGTGCCAAACAACCTTAGCGCTAAGTCTATGTTAAGGTATGGGAGATACGATCACCTTAGCTCTAAGTCTATGTTAAGGTATGGGAGTTACGATCACCTTAGCGCTAAGTCTATGTTAAGGTATGGGAGTTACAATCACCTCAGTGCTAAGTCTATGTTAAGGTATGGGAGTTACGATCAACTTAGCGCTAAGTCTATGTTAAGGTATGGGAGTTACGATCACCTTAATGCTAAGTCTATGTTAAGGTATGGGAGTTACGATCACCTTAGCGCTAAGTCTATGTTAAGGTATGGGAGTTACGATCACCTTAGTGCTAAGTCTATGTTAAGGTATGGGAGTCACCATCACCTTAGCGCTAAGTCTATGTTAAGGTATGGGAGTTACGATCACCTCAGTGCTAAGTCTATGCTAAGGTATGGGAGTTACGATCATCTTAGCGCTAAGTCTATGTTAAGGTATGGGAGTTACGATCACCTTAATGCTAAGTCTATGTTAAGGTGTCGGAGTTACGATCACCTTAGCACTAAGTCTATGTTAAGGTATGGGAGTTACGATCACCTTAGTGCTAAGTCTATGTTAAGGTATGGGAGTTACGATCACCTTAATGCTAAGTCTATGTTAAGGTATTGGAGTTACGATCACCTTAGCGCTAAGGTCGCTATGTACAACGGCAACCTATGATTGTGGGTTCGAATCCTGGTTTGCCCTGATTAGGTTTCTAGGTTTCTAGGTTTGACAGCACCATACCCATGCTTATGGGTTTTACCAAAGTGGTAAATGTCTGAGACCTGCATCACTTCGGGCTTTCCTGCCACATGAAACTGACACGCTGTGATATAACTGGGATACTGTTCAAAGCGGCATCAAACCAAACTCACTCCGATGTCCATTCCTTTCAACAACGTGTCACTGTCTAAGCTGCATCATGTCATGATGTACATCGTTTAGTTTGTATCTCTGAGATTGTCAAAGTAGGGTTGTCAGGATTCAACTTGTCTGCGTGTTGTAGATATGCGAGCGCTGGACGCGAATGACGAGCTGACACCCCTGGGGAAGATCCTTGCCAAACTTCCCATCGAGCCCCGGCTTGGCAAGATGATCATCTTTGGATGTATCTTCTAGTAAGTGATCCGAGGACAGAGAATCACATTCTGTTCAGCTTTCTGTCACAACTGGTACATTGGTGCACTATAGAAATCTGGCAATGCTTGAATATTGTAGTGTAGGATGAGTCATGTGCCTTCCATAGATAAATGTAGAAGAATTGAAATAACCTTGTATTTAACAATACAGTGAGATAAGGACAAATATTTTATATAATATAGTGACATACTCACAAGGATTTCTTTGTTTAACTGATATATTGGGACATATGGAATATCTTGTGAAGACTTTTTCCAGTTTAGATCAAGTTATTATAGCAGATGCTATTGTCACTGTAATCCTAGCAGTCAAGGAAAGCGTGATAGGAGGTGTGGAAAATCAGTGCCTGACTTGATTGACTCCTTAATGTGAGATCGACGGACAGACTAAAAAAAATCAGGATCATTAGACCTAAACAACCTTAAAGTTAACAGACGTTTAGTTGATTGTGATCAAATATTCATTACAAGTACTAAATGAAGTTTATAAAGAGCATGTGTATGACCAGTCCATGGATTTTTTTTTTTGATTTTTTTATAATATTTTTTTTTTTCTCAGGATACCAGGGGCGGTCGGGTAGCCTAGTGGTTAAAGCGTTCGCTTGTCACGCCGAAGACCTGGGTTTGATTCCTGACATGGGCATGATGGGTACCATGTGTGAATCCCATTTCTGGTGTCCCCCGCTGTGATATTGCTGGAATATTGCTAAAAGCGGCGTAAAACCATACTCACTCACTCATTATCAGGATACCAAATAAGTAGTCTCAGGCTAGCGGACTTGTGTGAATTTTGAAGACTGTGAATGAGTGTGTGTTTAATGCAAGTCTTTGCTTCAGTGTTGGAGATGCGATGTGCACGATAGCTGCAAGTACCACATTCCCTGAGCCCTTCATAACACCGACCGACCGGCGGCGTCTGGGCTGGGTGCATAAGAGTCTGTCCGGGAGCCGATGCAGCGACCATGTGGCGCTACTCAACGCCTTCCAACTGTGGGAGGAGGCCAGGTACTGACATCTCAGTTGTCTTCACCATTGGTCAGTTAAATTTTTGGCTATATATGTTCTAGTGGTCTGCACGTAATATGATTACAGAGTTATGGCCCTTTGCATTCCACCTGACATTTTGTATGGTTTCTCTTGACTCACAAGTTTTGTTAGTGTCCTTGGATCCCTTCCATTCTATGTTGTATGTTGTATTGACCTTTTATGTTTGTCTGTTTGAATTTCGGTTTCATTACCACTATCATGTAGTGCTATTTAAGAATGTAAGGGGAAAGTTGGTTGATTTTCCGTTCGTCTGCTATATCGAACCAATCTGATCAAACAAATAATAAGCTAAATTCATCTGAGAAATGTGGTCAGTCGTAAACCTTTTCAAAATTCACTATACCGTATTCGACGTAATAAGCGCCCACGGCGATATTTGCTAATATTTGGCTAGTGAACAATCCCAGTCAGCACCCCTTCCGATTGATCAATGTACACAAGACTTATTTATTCGTGTATAATATGCACTCGTGTGTTATGTGCATCTTTAATTATGGGCAATTGAATTCTGTAAACATTTCAGGCTGTCAGCATAAACCACGAAATTTACGATCTTTCAACTTTTTTTCTCACCAAAATAATATTCTAATAAGAGCCCCTATTTCTAATTTTGAGAGCGCCCTGAGCGCTTATTACGTCAAATACGGTAATAGCATTCCCAAAGACATAAACAAAAATATAAATATGACTACATTTGGGCAAATTTCAAGATTCTTGTAATGTCCGTGCCCACACTGGTGGCAGCGATGTTACCGAGAGTGTAAGGAAGGCGCCACGGGCTTGGAAGGAGCTTGTGTAATAGGGGTGCAAGGGAGACAACTCTCAGTGAGACTGTTTGTGTTGCAGATCGGGCGGTGAGGACAGTGAGATGTATTTCTGTGACCAGAAGTCCCTCTCGCTGCAAACACTACGCATGACGTCTGAAGCCAAGGTAGGTCATGAGTCACAATGGCCTTGACACTTTTCTCAATCAAAAGGTCACCAAGTAGGCCAGAGTTTTATATCTAGTTTTTTTGTCTTAAGATGTCTACTACTTTTTTGCTATATTTAAGGAAGAGAAGACAAAAGAAATGCGAATATCATACATTTAAGTTAATATATGAAGAATTACTCATATTCAAGAGATATTAGATTGGTTTGACACACAAATGAACATACTGCTATGTTGTGTGAACCGATGCTCATGAACGCATCACTGTTGACATCATAGATCTGTGACCATTTGTCTCATGCAGGATTAGAGTGTAAAGTTTGGAAATTACGTGCACATATCGTGGTAAGAATAAAGACACTCTGCGGTGACACTTGACTGATTGTTACTTTTGTCATTATGTGGTACACATTGGAAACATCTCTTCTTGTGTACATATTTCTCTATATATTTCTATGGTTCGCGTTACTTTTGGCTGTGAGTATATGTTGCTATATTTCTTACTATGGTGACAGAATCAGCTGCGCGACATCCTGGTGAATGCAGGCTTCCCGGACGAGAGCCTGATGCCGATGGGCTTCAACTTCACCGGGCCGGACAACAGACTGGACATTGTGAGTGGTCACTCCAAGTTTATTCTGAAACAAAATTCTGGAACAATTCTACGTGTTGGTACCTTTTGTGGTGAACTATGACCTCACGTAAAGCCTCATTTTCGGCTGAGCTGTAACTATTGTCGTGAACGGTGTGACACCTAGATAATTTTGAATATGTTATTCGTTAATTAACATTCCAAATGTTGCTATGCCCTGATGGGAACTCTGGGTTGCAATTGGTTGCATTCAACCTCTGCTGGTCATAAGAGAGAATTAAAATTGATCAGGGTGCCGTTATACAAAACTACCTTAGCACTACGACTGTCATAAGTCTATGTTAAGGTATGGGATTTACTATCACCTTAGTGCTAAGATTGCTTTGTACAACGGCATCCAGGTGGTCCGACTCATTGACTTAATTGATGGCATGTCATTCTATCCTGACGTGAGACATTCATAATATCAACTTCTGGTTGGTCTGGCCTTGACTCGACATGTGCACAACGTCATATAGCTGGAGTATTGCCGATTGCCTTGTTAAACACTAAGTAATGCCTGTGTGTGGTGCAGGCCATCACGTTGCTGTCCATGGGGCTGTACCCCAACGTGTGCTACCACAAGGAGAAGCGGAAAGTGCTGACCACGGAGAGCAGAGCCGCCCTCGTACACAAGTCGTCGGTCAACTGCAGCAACTTCGAGGTCAAGTTCCCGTCACCCTTCTTCATCTTTGGAGAGAAGGTTAGTTCTTGGTAAACCAGGATCTTGTCAAAAAGTTTCATGGCCAGGATTTTAGAGATGTAGCTTTTAGAGATGTCCCTTATGTATTGCTTTGGAAATCCCGGATGGGACTCAACTAAAAAAAGTACGAGAATCTGTACTTTACTAAGAAAGTGTTATCCCAAATATAACATTTGTTACATTTGACCACTTTCTAAATGGCATTGTGTGTATATATGTCTTATGTAATATCAGTTTATCATTTGATGGAGTTGGAGTTGGGCCTTATGTTTTACAGATAAGCATGATTACATTAAATTTAAAGTTTAAAAAAGTGCAGTCGTTGATTTAAAAGTATACTGTTTTAACTATTTTGTATGTATATTTTTTTTTCAAATCATATTTCAAGTTTGAGATTGAACACATACAACACACTTGTCGCCATCTTCCCGAGGCAAGGGAGTTAACTGACTTTAAAAGTCCAGTTTCCACCCTTGCCGAACTAGGCTGGAATTACTTGGCTCGATCGTTGCGCCACCAGTGGCTATTACCAATTGTGTCCCTTCTAAGCCTCTCCTATGGATCAATCGTATTCCACCTCTCGTATCACTTGCGTTTGCTTCACACAAAATGGTGGCGCCCAGTCAGGACGATCTGATCGATAATCATTATCTATATTGTGATAAAACGAGTCTTACATCGCGAAATGCATCAAATCATGTGAGCACCTTGATTAAAAACATGAAAGGATTTGGACGTCGCTGAAGTTAGATGGTTTAACTCTTGATGCTGATGTCCCTGCTGCAGATCAGAACCAGGGCCGTTTCCTGCAAGCAGATGACGATGGCCACACCTCTACAACTCCTGCTGTTCGGGGCCCGAAGTGTCACTTTACAGGGAGACATGGTAGTGCTGGACAACTGGTGAGTGTCACTTTACAGGGAGACATGGTAGTGCTGGACAACTGGTGAGTGTCACTTTACAGGGAGACTTGGTTGTGCTGGACAACTGGTGAGTGTCGCTTTACAGGGAGACATGATAGTGCTGGACAACTGGTGAGTCACTTTACAGGGAGACTTGGTTGTGCTGGACAACTGGTGAGTGTCACTTTACAGGGAGACATGGTAGTGCTGGACAACTGGTGAGTGTCACTTTACAGGGAGACATGGTAGTGCTGGACAACTGGTGAGTGTCACTTTACAGGGAGACATGGTAGTGCTGGACAACTGGTGAGTGTCACTTTACAGGGAGACATGGTAGTGCTGGACAACTGGTGAGTGTCACTTTACAGGGAGACATGGTAGTGCTGGACAACTGGTGAGTGTCACTTTACAGGGAGACTTGGTTGTGCTGGACAACTGGTGAGTGTCACTTTACAGGGAGACATGGTAGTGCTGGACAACTGGTGAGTGTCACTTTACAGGGAGACATGGTAGTGCTGGACAACTGGTGAGTGTCACTTTACAGGGAGACATGGTAGTGCTGGACAACTGGTGAGTGTCACTTTACAGGGAGACATGATAGTGCTGGACAACTGGTGAGTCACTTTACAGGGAGACATGGTAGTGCTGGACAACTGGTGAGTCACTTTACAGGGAGACATGGTAGTGCTGGACAACTGGTGAGTCACTTTACAGGGAGACATGGTAGTGCTGGACAACTGGTGAGTGTCACTTTACAGGGAGACATGGTAGTGCTGGACAACTGGTGAGTGTCACTTTACAGGGAGACATGGTAGTGCTGGACAACTGGTGAGTCACTTTACAGGGAGACATGGTAGTGCTGGACAACTGGTGAGTCACTTTACAGGGAGACATGGTAGTGCTGGACAACTGGTGAGTGTCACTTTACAGGGAGACATGGTAGTGCTGGACAACTGGTGAGTGTCACTTTACAGGGAGACATGGTAGTGCTGGACAACTGGTGAGTGTCACTTTACAGGGAGACTTGGTAGTGCTGGACAACTGGTGAGTGTCACTTTACAGGGAGACATGGTAGGGCTGGACAACTGGTGAGTGGACTAGAATCTTGCTTTCAGAAAGGGAGATGTCACTGTTGCTGAGATGTCGTTGTGTCACTTCAGGATGTTCAGATAGGAGTATGGTTGGGGGGGAGGGGGAAGTTCAGGACTAGAATCTGGCTTTCAGAAAGGGAGATGTCACTGTGTTGCTGAGATGTCAATGTGTCACTTCAGGATCAACCTCCGCATGGAGTATGATGCGGCAGCTTGTGTGGTTGCGTTGCGCCCACTGCTGGAGGCGCTGATGGTGCGGTCAACGAAGGAGCCGGAGGGTGTGGCGGAGCCGGGGCCCCAGGAGGAGTGTCTTCTGGCTGTGCTGAGAGTCATGTCCCGCCCACACGCTGGCCGCTTTGGGCTCAGCCAGGAATCGTGAGTACAGTGAAACAGTCCTTGCAGCCTATGTTTTACCTGACTGGAAGTGTTTACTGAGAATAGCTAGAAAAGATGTTCTGCATTTGAGGGAATTCAATATGAATGTAGATACTGGTGAGGTCAGACGTCATATGATCTGGTAAAGTCAGAGGGTTCATGATACGTGTTCCTTGCTGTAAAGTTCTTGGTCATTCGGGAGCAGGTAGAATTGGGCTGCTTCTGTTGTCATGCAGACACCCCTCTATCTGTACTGAACAAACAAATTTAGTAATAATCAATATTGTTGGCATATTTTTTGTAGTTAAGACTGAGCACACAATTTCATAAAAATATCCGAAAAAATATTCTTCATCCCTAACTTTTTTTGTTCAGTATAGTTTCTTGACACTGTTTTGGCTCGGTGTCAGCAGTCAAATTAATTTGGTGACATTAATTTCATGATTAATATTTAAAGTAACTTAATATTGTTGTAGTCATTTCCAATCAACTTGCATACTTTATTTTACTTTCACATTCAGAGCATATCATGTGTGCTTGTAGATTTGATAACAAGATGTTTTCTTCACAGGGGAGGCAACAACATGCGAGGACCCCCCGCCAAAGTGCCCCGGATGGGGGGAGGGGGCTTTGGTGGAGGAGGAGGAGGTGGATACAGTGGAGGGAGAGGGGGATATGGTGGAGGAGGACATGGCAGTGGGGGAGGAGGGTATTGGGGTCGGGGGGGAGGAGGAGGAGGATATGGGGGTGGAAGAGGTGGTGGTGGCTATGGCGGTGGTGGTTACGGAGGTGGCCGGGGAGGAGGAGGAGGAGGATATGGAGGGGGCGGTTACGGAGGTGGTCGGGGTGGGAGAGGAGGAGGAGGAGGATTTGGTGGGGGTGGAAGTAGATACGGAGGTGGGGGTGGAGGTGGGGGTGGATTTGGACGTGGAAGGGGATTCCGAGGTGGGCAGCAAGGTGGATTTGGGAGTGGGGGTGGGGGCTTCTCCTTTGGTGGAGGAAGTGGCAGCGGAGGAAGTGGTGGTGGAGATCAGGACTAATTTGATGGAGGATCATCCCTGTTCTACAACTGAGAACTTACAATGTTGTGCACAAGAGACCATGGATGTTTTATGGACCCAGACATACTGGATTGGATGTGTTCATGAATGTTTCATTTGAAACATTTACGCGGATGAAACTGAAGATTGTTTACATTTTTGTCTGTGTTTGTTACAAAGTGTAAGACAAAGATTTCTACTGAGATGTGTCACGAACGTGACGTGTAGACCAACATTGATTCAATACTTGGCCTGGGACTTCTTCGAGATACACAGTGATAACAGCCGTTTCCGTTTGGGTGGAATTAATCATATAGCACAAATCTGCTAATATATTGAAACAATACAATTATGTGGAACATATTTTGAACTTTGTCGAACAAAATAGACAACAATTATTGCCCTTGCTACAAGAAGTTTCACAACTAGAACACACTGATTATCAGTTAGAAGTAACTTGTGCTTCTTGTGATGGGAAGGTTTCAATACTTAGAGTTTGGCAGATAAGATGCAGCCAGATCAAAAGATGAATTAATCTTTGTCAAAAGAATACAGTATTCCTGATAGTGATTAGTAATGAGAAAAAATAAATACTAATTTTAAGCCACAGTTATCCCACATATTCCTAACTTCATCAATTTGGAGTTAGCATCTCTGCATTCACAACTCGCTTCATTCTGTATCGTTACTTCATGTTGCAAACTTTGTATTAATCATCTGCACATACAGATTCACATAACAGTTTTATGATTATACCAGTGTTGAAGATACTCTCTTCCTAACCATCCGTCACAAGCTGTATTTGCCAGTGTTAAAAACATCAGGACTGGCAACTATTCAGATTGTATTAGAATTGCCAGTCCGGGTGTCTGCAGGAATTTTAAACACTTTTAGTGCACATGGGGCGGTCGGGTAGCCTAGTGTTTAAAGCGTTAGCTCGTCACGACGAAGACCCGGGTTCGATTCCCGACATGGGTACAATGTGTGAAGCCCATCTCTGGTGTCCCCCGCCGTGATATTGCTGGAATATTGCTAAAGGCGGCGTAAAAAACCGAACTCACTCACTCATTTTAGTGCACAATGTGGGTGACTATTGATTCCAGGCTTTTTGATGATGTCATCGTGTGAGATTTTGACAGAACTTCATCATTTGTCACGGTGGCCTAGTTGCCCTAGGAGCTGCACTCCACTGTCAGAGTTGTGTCCCTTAGGAGTACCAGGAACCAATGATTATGTGTTCGAATCCCAGCTCGCCTTGATTGTTTCTAATTTGTCAGCTCATGGGTTTCACCAAAGTGGTAAACGTCTAGGACCTGCATCACTTCGGGCTTTCCTCTCAATTGAAGCAGTGGCATGCTTGAACTTCTTTCCAAAGTAGCATTAAACCACGGTCTCTCAATGTTAGTTTGTGAATTTTTCATTTTTTTTATTCATTTACTTGGAGTAGGTGGGTAGCCTTGTGGTTAATGTGTTGGCTCATCAAACTAAATACCTGGGTTCAGTTCCCAACATGGGTATATGTGAACCCATTTTTAGTGTGACATGGCCGCAATATTGCCAAAATCAATATAAAACCATACTACTTTAGGAAGGAAATTATTCAGTCTGTCCCTAAATTTTGGAATCAATTTATTTATATTAATTGAAGTATGGATATGGCACTACAGATTTATTTGAAATTTGTGAAATATTGTCCTCATATTTATTAGTACATTGGGTTTCTATTGAACAAGGAGTGACCTTGGAAATGTGTTCATCATGGCAATGTGTTGGAGAAATGGAATTTGGGTATTTTTACCATTTCTTAGAATCCTTTTTTCTTTGTTGTCACTGAGACTTTAAGTATTAAGTGATTTTATGATAGCGATGAAGTGAAGTTGTGGTCCACCACTTTTGTCTGTTTACTATGTTGAGTTTGTTTACACGATCTGACTTATTGTGCACAATGAGATGTTGAACTATATGTGAAATAAATGTTCATGAAGAATGTTGATTTTGTTCTTTTATCATTGAATGTTGGACACAGTAGTTCAGAAAAGCTATTGGGCTGGGGGTAGTCTAGAGAACAAAGGGCTTCTAGTGGATAGTGACTACCTCGAGCAAGGAAGATTACCATGCCAAATTGAATGTGAACCAAATGTGCTTCAGCTTTTGAATGTAGCAGAGTTCAATCTGAAGGTAACCTAACTCAACATTGAAATCACTATGTTTTTCTCCATTCTACCATGACAGTCACATGTTCTATCAAGACAGGGATGATATCACATGGAACACCTGAGCAGTCAACTGTTCTAAACAGATATCACATGGAACACCTGAGCAGTCAGCTGTTCTAGACATGGAACACCTGAGTAGACAGGGATGATATCACATGGAACACCTGAGCAGTCAACACATGAAAAATCTAATCAGTCAGCTGTTCTTGACTGAGATGATATCACATGGAGCACCTGAGCAGTCAGCTATTCTAAAGAGATGATATTACATGGAACACCTGATCAGTCAGCTGTTCCAGACACAGATGATATCACATGGAACACCTGAGCAGTCAGCTGTTCTAAAGAGATGATATCACATGAAACACCTAATCGGTCAGCTGTTCTATATTGAGATTATATTACATGGAACACCTGAGCAATCAGCTGTTCTTGACACAGATGATATCACATAGGACATCTTAGCAGTCAGCTGTTCTTGACACAGATGATATCACATGGAGCACCTGAGCAGTCAGCTGTTCTTGACACATATGATATCACATGGAACACATGAGCAGTCAGCTGTTCTTGAGACACATGATATCACATGGAACACCTGAGTAGTCAGCTGATCTAGACACATGATATCACATGGAACACATGAACAGTCGGCTGTTCCAGACACATGGTATCACATGGAGCACCTGAGTAGTCAGCTGATCTAGACAGAGATGATATTTCATGGAACACATGAACAGTTGGCTGTTTCTAGACAGATGATATCACATGGAGCACCTGAGCAGTCAGCTGTTCTTGACACATGTGATATCACATGGAGCACCTGAGCAGTCAGCTGTTCTTGACAGGAATGATATCACATGGAACACCTGAGTAGTCAGCTGATCTAGACACAGATGATATCACATGGAACACATGAACAGTCGGCTGTTCCAGACACATGGTATCACATGGAGCACCTGAGTAGTCAGCTGATCTAGACAGAGATGATATCACATGGAGCACCTGAGCAGTCAGCTGTTCTTGACAGGAATGATATCACATGGAGCACCTAAGTAGTCAGCTGTTCTTGACACAGATGATATCACATGGAGCACCTGAGCAGTCAGCTGTTCTTGACACAGATGATATCACATGGAGCACCTGAGTACTCAGCTGTTCTTGACACAGATGATATCACATGCAGCACCCGAGCAGTCAGCTGTTCTTGACACAGATGATATCACATGGAACACCTGAGTTGTCAGCTGTTCTTGACACAGATGATATCACATGGAACACCTGAGTAGTCAGCTGTTCTTGACACAGATGATATCACATGGAACACCTGAGTAGTCAGCTGTTCTTGACTTGGATATCACATGGAACACATGAGCAGTCAGCTGTTCTAAACACAGATGATATCACATGTAGCACCTAAGTAGTCAGCTGTTCTTGACAGGAATGATATCACATGGAGCACCTGAGCAGTCAGCTGTTCTTGACACAGATGATATCACACGGAACACCTGAGCAGTCAGCTGTTCTTGACACAGATGATATCACATGGAACACCTGAGCAAGCAGCTGTTGTGTAGACCAGATATTTCCAGACTCAATGTCTTTTGAACATTTTTGTTTAAAATGTTTTTGATAAGCTGCGATCACTCACGTTTTTTGTAAGCTGGTTATTTTTTTTGTAAGGGAACTGTTGGATTAAAGTGGGATATTTCTTTCTAAAAATGCAATAAGTGGAAAATATAATTTGAATATATCGCAACACAAATATTCTGTTTTTGTAAATGCTGTTAAAAGGACAGTTGGACACAATTTAATTAATATAAAGTCCGTCACTCCAGTAAATGCTCACAGTTTCTCACTTGTCAATGGTATTCATCTTGATACGATCCCTTTGATGTCTAAATATTTCTTTGATCTTCTTGTCCACAACAATAGTAGATCACTTAGATCAAGCAGATGAACAATAGCAACCTTTTTTAATTATTAAGATGTCACAAGTATATGCATAGAATTAATATAAAAAACCATTAAACATGTAAGCTGTGTGGAGAAATTGATACAACTGAGCAGTTACCATGTATGTTTCTGGAGGTACTGTCAACTAGTTTTGAAGGAATGTGTTTAATATACTAAAATTGTCATATGGCATTTTTGTTATCACTGACTTTTAAGCCAGTTGGTGCTAAAAAAATCTCAGAAAACTCTCACACAGCAGCTGTAAATTATTTTTTGATGATTGCAAAATTTTTTGTTTACATATATTGAGGAACAGAAGGCAACTACCACTTTGATCATTTTACAAAGGAATTGTCAGAACACTATAACATATTTTAAAGTGAGTGTAATGATCACCTCACAGAACATAACATTGTGTAATGTTGAATCAGAGACCATATTGAATGTTCTATTTGTATGTTACACTTTGCAAAAAGAACCTGCCCTGGTACCTCCAACCACGTGGGGATGTAAGGGTATTTACGTCAAAATACCCGAGCAAACATTTTTCAAAACAAAACAAAATAAAAAGTAAATATGTGTGCTCGATAGTAAGGGATTCGAACTCGGAACCTTTAAATGCAGACGTTTTCGATATTTTAACTTCAAACGGAAATGACAAGAGTAACTTCCCCTAGTATTTGGTTGTTCTTCCGTCTCTTGAGACCGTCTTCTATGTGGCATATTTCACGATGATTCACAGCCTTTTCGTCATTAATAACAGCGGGTATGGCATCATGAATACGTTGTGTGTTTATTATAGCAAAGACATGTTTGACGCGTTTTGTTTCCAGGTTTTAGCGATCCGTAAATTAGACCCGTGACGTTTGGTCATGTGGGTGGGAGGTTTATGCCTCTTGTACACACTTGTGATTTCATTAACACGATCGACAACGTAAAATAATTTCAACAACCGAAAACGGTAATAGAAGAATCCCCACAACCATAGTCTGTGACGTAATTCTACCTAAAAAGCACATCTCTTGCACACAAGTCAGGACGTAAAGATATCTTTTATTCAGGAAATCAATCTCATTAAAATCATATCATAGTTTTTGCTACCGTTAACAAAAATCTGAGGACATCCAATTACGGAGAACAGCCTTTCGCGAATTTTGACCGACCATTGAAATGACCGTCAAGAAATCAGAAGGCAGCTTACTCGAGCTTTACGACACTAGTTTCAAACTGGCGACTACGCTTCGAAACATATTTTGACGTATTCTCGATTAAAAAAATTAAAACTGTTAAGAAGAATATTCTGGAATGGCTTATAGATGGCCTAGATTGTATGGATATAATCATAAAACCCGTAACTGTCGTTAAATATTTCGTGGTTGCATGATTAGAAAACACATTCCGGCTGTCACTTTCATGCTCTGGTAAGCGACGCTCTGATTGGTTGGATGAAAGGTCATTCTGACGTGACCCTTAATGGGATATCCTCAGATCTTTGTTTCGCGATAGCGAGAACTAAGATCTGATTTTAATGAGATTGCTCAGGATATGCACTTGTGATGTGCACGATTACAGTATTAGCATAAATGAATTTTCCATTCAATACCTATCAAGTCAATGTTTCCCCTTTTCATATTTACGCCCTGTCCCCAGTAACCTATGCTTGTCGAAAACGAGTCTAAAACGGATCGCATGGTCAGTCAATTTCTGTCATTATGCTGGAAAGTTGCCCCTGGTTTAGTTACTCATTTATTTTCAGTAAGATCATATGCTATATTATTGCTATATTATTTATAATGGTTCATAATGGTGCATGCTAACTAACCTTTTGAATATGTCATACGCCAAATGTTTGTTGTTCTTTGTTCAAATTTATTGACACATAAATTAGGATTGATCGATGCTGATAGTCTCTACTGAGTTCAGTGAACAAAGTACCTGTCATTAGCGTTTCAAGGGCGGTCAACTCTGTATTGCAGTATGGCTATTTTGTGGTGTGATACGTGTGGTTTATGTTGTTTATATTTCTTCCTGTTTGGATTATGCATAGTCAGTATGCATACGACCTAGGTTGGGTCAAGGGACTTCGTCTAAACAGGTAGGGGTAATTTCACTTCAAAAACATTCCAAAAAACTATCATTAAAAAGTTAACGTGTATACTTACAAGTAGCCGTGACATACCGCAACGAGTCCAGTATTTGATCAAGCAATGAAATATCATGCTTAGATTCCCATAAGTAAACAGTCGACAGGGTGTGTGGATTACAAGATTTACCAATTTAATTTACCGTGATAATATTGAGCCAATGATAATATAGAGTCATGCTATACACCCTGAAATAATTTACTGAATTGCTTTCGTATTTGAAAGTCTGTTTGGGGAAGTTAGGGGTCTTATTAGGTGCCACCATCCAGGTCAGTCGGGGTGGGAAGCAAAAGGTGGAGATTTGCCAAACAATAAATATTTCACATTCAGCCTTCGAAATTCACAGTAGTCTGCAAGCACAAGACTACTGAGTTGTCTTGTGCTGAGGACAAGTAAACGTGCAATTAAGGTAGTCTTCATCGACTTTGAGGATTTGAGGGCTATTAGTATTACACTGGACCAGTTCTCAATGCTTCAGTTTGCTACAAATCAAACCGACAGAAAATATAGACATTGTAAACATTTTTGTCTTTTCAAGCAGGACTAGCTACCATTTCTGAGGACGTGTTAAATAAGGTTCTGGATTAGTCTTGAAAAAATAATGTCTCTGCTGTATTATGAGATTCATGTGTTACTAGCAAGGTGTACAGGGTTTGAATAAAGCCTGAAATGTCAGTATGATGACACACTGATCTAATTTAGTCTTGCCCAGGCTCTTTGAATTTCCCCCCAAATGTTATTATCACCAGTGATCAGGATGACAAGTCATTGAATACAAGATCTTATTATTGGAAATAAGTGAAGATGATGTTACAATGGATAGATGTCTTTTATTGGAGACATTTACAGAATGACCAACCTCACAACTCCGATGACTTAATGTTGAAATTCTGGAATCAAAACTTAAATAAAATGTTATTTCTTGTGCTTTTTACGCTTGATAGGGTGGCCTTTCATCTTTTGATAATCAGGTCCTGTGAGGTATGGCGAGATGGTCCCCTTGGTTACGACACTGTCTTACTTACCTTTGTTCATTGTTGTTTTTTTCAGAGATGTGTTCATGGAAAAGCATTGGAAAAGTGTGATACACAAATCAATATGTGACTACTTTTTTGAAGCCCAGAATAAGGTGAGCTCGATATGCGGTGAGACTGTTATTAGTACTGAGAGTACTAGTTATGAAATTATTTTATATCACAGTAAACTACGGTTATAACGAACACGCTTATAACAAACTGACGGATATAACGAACTAACTTTTTAGACCTGACTATTTGCCGTAGTTATGCTGTATATGTGCTTATAACGAACTACTGTTATAACAAACTAAAAATAGTAGTCCCTTTGAGTTTGTTATACAAATGTTATAACCATAGTTTACTGTATATATGAAATATTACGTACAGTTACTGACAGTTGTACTTGTTACAGAATGACCTGAAAATGATTGTGAAAAAATAATAAATAAACTGTCAAATTTGGCATAAATCAATGAATAAAGGTGAATTTTCTTCTTGATAATGGAAGTTATTTTTATTTTAGGAAAGTAAACTCTTGACTGGAGTCCTATCGATGTTGTCTGTCAACGATAATATGTCGGCAGTCAATGTTAAGTTGTTGGATGTAGTCTGTCATGAGATACATGGCATCAGACTCATAAGATTCACAAAAGCACCTCAAGGTGTTATACGACGAGTGTTTAGTCGAGCTGTCCCAAGACAAACCGGGAACAACTATTTGTTTCTGTTCACGTAGTATATGATTTGTGTAAGGTGATCTTACAGACCAGAAGTAATTTTGCTCGATTTTTGTCTTCGAACTTGTGGCTAAAGTCACAGACTGTTTGCCTAAATACCTTATTCAACGTAATAAGCACCCAGGGTGCTCTCAAAATTAGAAATATAGGGGTTTCTTATTGTAATATAATTTTGGTGAAAAAAAAACAGAGTTGAAAGATTGTAAATTTCGTGGTTTATGCTGACAGCCTGAAATGATACAAAAGAAAAGTCTGTACGTATTATACACGACAGATATATTTTCCAGAATTTATATTGCCCATAATTAAGGGTGCATATAACACACGATTGCGTATAATACACGAATAAATAAGTCTTGTGTACATTGATTGGAAGGGGTGCTAATTGGGATTGTTCGCTAGCCAATATATAGCAAATATCGTAGTGGGTGCTTATTAGAGAGGGGCGCTTATTACGTCGAATACGGTAATGCATATCATGTCGGCCCCACAGAGCCTTTATCATGCACTGCTGGTGTAGGTGATTGTTGATATATCATCTGCTAAGCTAGTGGGGCTGCTGGGAAAATCTTGTGTTGTGAGAAAGTGTGTAAGCATGTGCCGGCCGGCATGACAGGTTGTTTTTATGTGAGTGGTGTAAGCTGAGGAAGAATAAAAGAAGCAATGTGTGGTTGGTTTTGGTTATTGGACTGGCATTAACAGTGATGATGTCGGTCTCTCTTTCTCAGGCCTCCTGCCCTGAGGATGTGCCGCCAGTCATCCCCACCCCCCACCACTACCTCATCAACATCTACAGGAACAACCTCTACTTCGTGGCTGTCACCACCACTGAGGGTGAGTAGGAATATCAGCATGTAGCAATTAGTACATGCTTTAATTTAAACGTTCCCACCATTCCAACATCCATATTTTTCTGTGTCCAACGGGGGCGGTCGGGTAGCCTAGTGGTTAAAGCGTTCCCTCACCACGCCGAAGACCCGGGTTCGAATCCTGTCATGGGTACAATGTGTGAAGCCCATTTCTGGTGTCCCCCCGCCGTGATATTGCTGGAATATTGCTAAAAGCGACGTAAAACCATACTCACTCACTCACTCACTCACTGTGTCAAACGGGACTAACAGTGGAGCAGACTTGCATCAGTTCTTCATGTTTATGTGTGTTGGATGTAATATTCAGCCTCCAGTACAACCCTGTCTATGTATCAGTTCCCCCGCTGTTTGTGGTGGAGTTTCTACACCGGATCTGTGACACATTCGAGGACTACTTCAGTGAATGCACCGAGTCCCAGCTCAAGGAACACTACGTTATAGTCTATGAGGTAAGGAACACAATGTTATAGTCTATGAGGTAAGTAACACAATGTTATAGTCTATGAGGTAAGGAACACAATGTTATAGTCTATGAGGTAAGGAACACTACGTTATAGTCTATGAGGTAAGGAACACTACGTTATAGTCTATGAGGTAAGGAACACAATGTTATAGTCTATGAGGTAAGGAACACAATGTTATAGTCTATGAGGTAAGGAACACAATGTTATAGTCTATGAGGTAAGCAACACAATGTTATAGTCTATGAGGTAAGGAACACAATGTTATAGTCTATGAGGTAAGGAACACAAAGTTATAGTCTATGAGGTAAGGAACACAATGTTATAGTCTATGAGGTAAGGAACACAATGTTATAGTCTATGAGGTAAGGAACACAATGTTATAGTCTATGAGGTAAGGAACACAATGTTATAGTCTATGAGGTAAGGAACACAATGTTATAGTCTATGAGGTAAGGAACACAATGTTATAGTCTATGAGGTAAGGAACACAATGTTATAGTCTATGAGGTAAGGAACACAATGTTATAGTCTATGAGGTAAGGAACACAATGTTATAGTCTATGAGGTAAGCAACACAATGTTATAGTCTATGAGGTAAGGAACACAATGTTATAGTCTATGAGGTAAGGAACACAATGTTATAGTCTATGAGGTAAGGAACACAATGTTATAGTCTATGAGGTAAGGAACACAATGTTATAGTCTATGAGGTAAGGAACACAATGTTATAGTCTATGAGGTAAGGAACACAATGTTATAGTCTATGAGGTAAGCAACACAATGTTATAGTCTATGAGGTAAGGAACACAATGTTATAGTCTATGAGGTAAGCAACACAATGTTATAGTCTATGAGGTAAGGAACACAATGTTATAGTCTATGAGGTAAGGTTTTGAGATGTGTCTTCCTCATCATGATCAGGTAGCCAGACTGACACAATACTTGAACTGCTGTACATGTATTCATGGTATTTCAATAGTAATTCTACCATGCAGACAAGGAGACTTTACGAACAGTATTCTTTTGGAATGCATAATTGCACATGTGTAAATAGGTCAGCTATCTGAGAAAGTTCCACAATGGGTCACAGGTAGTGCAACATGTTACAAATATTACTCAAGGTCAAGATTTATTATCGGAACACTATCTGAAGCACTCCATTCCAAATAACGAGAAGAGGTATCTGATCTACAGTTAGACCACCTCAAATTTGAAAACACTAAATTTGATCTCCTAAATTGGCATCAATTTTGTGCAAAATATTCCAATGTTCTATCTCCTTTACATTTAACTTTGAGGTTATGACAAAAAAGAACATGCGCAAGTGGTATAGCATCGGGTGTGTTTGGGCGAGCACTTCCAAGTTAATCGATGAGTGTATTTGGACGAGCTGTACCTAAACAAACCGAGAACAACTGTTTCCTTCTGTTCAGTTAATATGCAGTGTTATGGAAACATTGGTCAATATTGCTGGTGAGATGTGCACCTGTTGACCATTGCTGTACCCTACTATATTCAGCTCCTGGACGAGATGCTGGACAATGGCTTCCCACTGGCCGTGGAGTCAAACGTGCTGAAGGAACTCATCAAACCTCCCAACTTCCTCCGTACCATAACGGACACAGTCACCGGCAAGTCCACCAGGTCAGTTGTCCCCCCTTTTGGCCTTCACTCTTTAACTTTAGTATTACCATTCATGCTATTGTCTCCCCTGATATCCTTGACCTTGTTAGTGTTACTTTTTGTGCTGTTTTTCGTCTCCCCTTGTATCCTTGACCCTGTGCTATTCAAATTACCACCATTCCTTCTGGTGGATTGAGAAACAGGTCTCATAAATAGAGAGAGTTGTTTTGGTTTTAGTCTCCATTTCACAAATTCCAGCAGTATCACATGGGAACAAGAAAATTGGGTTTCACACAATGTGCAACCACAAGACTGCTCCACCACCTCTAGAAGTCTAAATCAACTTCTATCGGTTTGTCCTTTTGGTGATTTTAACAGAGTCACCACATGGGGACTCCGGGTTAGAATAGTTCCCCAGCAACCTATGTTGGTTGTAAGAAACCACTAAATGGATCAGGCTGTCAGATTAGGTTGATTTTGTGTCATCGTACCCAGACCTCATGGATCGATGCTCACAGTACCAATCACTGGATTGTCTGGTCCAGACTCAACTGTTTGCAGGCTGTCGTCATATAGCTGGAATAGTGCTGAGTGCGGCAGTAAGCAACACGCAAAACAAAACTAAAACAAGAAGCAACCAAAGCTAGCATCATGAATATCTCCATGTTCCACTGGTGCATGAAGAGGTGGGTAAGAATTCTCCATGGTATTTATGAGGGCTGTGTATTGGCCTAACATTTGTATTGCAGTATATTGTGATACAGGTATCTGTATTGTAATATACCGGGAGCTACAGTGTTTGACAGTGATTGGCACTGATTGCACATACAGATCCTAGTTTTTACATACTGAAGTAAATATAAATCATGGTCAGTCGCTGCCATTTTGTAGTCATGGAAACATCATTCGTGAATGAATTTCTCTGTAGATACAAACAATATTGATACAATACAATGTGTAAAACATATAATGATCTTAGAACCCAATTAATAGCACCAATATATTTTACCTATCCTACCAGACACAAATTTAATGTATTAGATGGTTTGTTGTTTAACGCCGCACTCAGCATTATTCCAGCTATATGACGGCGGTCTGTAAACAATCGAGTCTGGACCAGACAACCCAGTGATTGATATCATGAGCATCGATCCACGCAATAGGGATTGATGACATGTATCAACCAAGTCAGTGAGCCTGATGACCCGATCCCGTTAGTCGCCTTTTACGACAAGCATAGTCGCATTTTACGCCATGCATGGGTTGCTGAAGACCTTAATGTCGTCCACTAACAAATACAAATCTAAAACCTATCGATGTACATATATAGAGCAATGTGTATCAGAAACAACTGGTACCCTGAGTCTCCGACTATCTGAAATTACCATGGTATCATTGGCCTATGGCCTACACTACTAAATGAATAAAGTTGATAAATACAATACAAATAAGAACAAAAAAATGTTTTGCCAATATACACGAACACAGAAAAAATATTGCAATAGATATCATTTGAAAAGCGTATTGAGGTATACAGTCATACAGGCCTAGTATTTCTGATCCGCTCTGCCTGCAGCGTGAGTGCCACTCTGCCCACTGGTCAGCTGTCCAACATTCCCTGGCGCCGGACTGGGGTCAAGTACACGAACAACGAGGCCTACTTCGATGTGATCGAGGAAATTGATGCCATCATTGACAAGTCCGGCTCGACCGTCATCGCGGAGATACAGGGATATGTATGCATAATCTGAGTCTTTAAACTGACAATTTGTTATGAAGTATAATTTTGTATTCATATCTCAATTGCGTATATAATTCAACTTGTTCGCGTCGGTATATGGCTGTAATAATCTGATGCAATGTTAAATTTTAACTCACTCACTCAGTTTTAAGCTGACAGAATTTGGCGAATTTATGGCCATGACAGTTCAAAGAACGGGTCACACAAAGTTATTTTCTTCATCTTTAGGTACTTGAGAATGGGTTTGGATGAATATCTACTACTTCATTTTTTGTGGTCTAAGTGATATAAATTTGAAATGAGCTCACTTTTCCTCATATTTGAAAGTGATGGCTGCTCAGGGGCTGATATTCTGTCTCAAGTCAGCACAAGATGTCCGTAGAAATCCCAGTGGGAATGAAGACAATCAATTCATGATATAGTTATGACCAATGTGATGGCTTGGTCAAGGTGACTTGTCTTTCACTGATAACAGGACCGATAAAGTGAAATGCTTATTGTCACAATATTGCATTGGATCAATGTTAAAATAGCTCTGAAATTAATAGGTTAAAATCTTGAAAAATCCCAATTTTGAACAAAGAAATATTTTCCAAATTTATATGCCATTCCAAGGGCACTTAGTTTTGAATCCTAGATGAATCCTTTGGCCTAAAGTAAGTGAAGAGTGTCCAGACTGTCGATGTTTAACTTGTCATTACAGTCCATTGATAGTTTGATCACTCATTTCCAGTCTGCTATCTGTTGGGTTTGATCATGTTTTTCTTTTCCCACCAGATTGACTGTTTGATCAAACTGAGTGGGATGCCGGATCTCACCTTGTCCTTCATCAACCCTCGTCTCCTGGATGATGTCAGCTTCCATCCATGTGTCCGATTCAAGAGATGGGAGGTGAGGGTTATCCGTCACAGATCTTTACATGATGACCCGCGAAGATTTAGGTTAGAATAGGTCTTCAGCAACCCATGGTTGCCGTAATAAGTGACTACGCTTGTCGTAAGATGCAACTTATTGGATCAGGTGGTCAGGCTAGCTGACTTGAATGATGCATGTCCTTGTATCCTAATTGCATAGAAAGATGCTCATGATGTCAATCATTGGATTGTGTGGTCCAAGCTCAATTATTAACAGACCACCGTCATATAGCTTGAATATTGGTGAGTGCGACGTTAAAAAACAAACAAACAAAACCAGGCAACTGGTAGAGATCTCTGGTTAGGATGGGTCCCCAACCGGTGGAGTTCTCTGGTTAGGATGGGTCCTCAACCGGTGGAGATCTCTGGTTAGGATGGGTCCCCAACCGATGGAGATCTCTGGTTAGGATGGGTCCTCAACCGGTGGAGATCTCTGGTTAGGATGGGTCCCCAACTGGTGGAGATCTCTGGTTAGGATGGGTCCTCAACCGGTGGAGATCTCTGGTTAGGATGGGTCCCCAACTGGTGGAGATCTCTGGTTAGGATGGGTCCCCAACTGGTGGAGATCTCTGGTTAGGATGGGTCCCCAGTAACTATGCTGGTCGTACAACGTGACCTTGGGCTTGATGCTCAGGCTCGGTGAATCATCTTTCGTGTCATCATACCCTGAAGGTGTGGCACGTTGGTCATGATATCAATCACTGGTTATTATTATTTACAGACCACCATCTATTAGCTGGAATATAGCTGAGTGTGGCGTTTAACAATAAAGAAACAAGACTTATATTGGGATGGTGAGCCCCCACTCAAGTTTTTTCACCAAGTTTTATGCTTTCATTTCAGAGTGAGAGAATCTTGTCATTTGTGCCGCCTGATGGCCACTTCCGGCTGATGTCGTACCACATAGGAACCCAGAAGTGAGTGCTTCCTGTTGCACGGCCTCTGTGGTCTGGTGGTAGAGCGTCCCCCCGAAGAGAGGAAGGTCCGGGGTTCGATCCCCGGACGCGTCATACCAAAAGACGTTAAATGGTGGTACTTGTTGTTACCCTGTCTGGCGCTCGGCATTAAGGGGTTAAAACAAGGGCTAGTCGGCTCGGAGTCAGTATACTGTGTCTGAGTGGGGTATTCATGTTAAACTGCGGCATGGTATCTCAGTGGCCGAGCACAAAAGATCAGCATCAGTCCAGACTAGTACAAGCAGCCACACACACACGCAGACACACACTTTTTCACTACTCATTAGTGTTTGGTGTAACAGCCATGATTATTTTACGGGCACCAATTTGGTGTCGTACCGTGTAAACACAAAATGGCAACATGTGCTGGAGTTACACGCGCGACCAATCATCGTAGAAAAAACAACGCAAGATAAACATATTTTTATTGCTTATATAAGGTTTGTGTGTGCACTTGTGATGTGACTTGTTTGATAGGCATTTAGAAGTTGGAGTACTAAGTGATAACGGTGTTAGAACCTACACCGAAACGTCGCTCTTAATTGTAATAAAGAAGTTGTTCATCCATAAATTTCTTATCCTTACTTACTTGTGATGTGCTTCATTCCAGGTCGCCTTATACACGGAGTATAGGATTTTGGGTTGATTTTGAAAGCGTGTACAGGGGGGGTCGTCTTATACGTGGGGTCACCTTATACACACCGATACACTGTAAACAGAACTGTTAATTAGGTTATTTGAGGTAGTAATGAATGTTTTATTCTATTTTCAGTATTGTTGCCATTCCAATTTATCTCCGACACAATATATCGTTCCGAGACGGAAACTCAGGCAGGTTTGATGTCACCATTGGACCGAAACAGACCTTGGGAAAAACAGTGAGCAAAATAGGCAGTGGTTTTCAGCCTGTTTAATGTTGATAATGATTACCGTATTCGACGTAATAAGCGCCCCTCTCTGATAAGCGCCCATGGCGATATTTGCTAATATATTTGCCAATGAACAATCCCAATTAGCACCCCTTCCGATTGATCAATGTACACAAGACTTATTTATGCGCCTATAATACGCACTCGTGTGTTATATGCACCCTTAATTAATGGCAATTAAATTCTGAAAAACATATCTTTCGTACATAAACTTTTCAGGCTGTCAGCATGAACCACAAAATTTATCTTTCAACTCTGTTGTTTTCACCAAAATAATATTCTAATAAGAGCCCCCTATATCTAATTTTGAGGGCGCCCTTTGCGCTTATTACGTCAAATACGGTATGTATGAAGTTCGATAAATGATTGTCAGAACATTGTCATTTTTTTTCCTCTCTGCTGACCAATGTCAACTGTGAAGGAAGCATTTGCCGTCATCCCTTGTATCATCACATCGCATTATATGTACCATACATATATATGTACCAGTGTTTTCTTCAAGGGTTGATTTCACTGCTGGCCCGTTGGCCCGTGGCCTGGTAAAATTACAAAGGGCTTGGTGAAATGTAAAGTAGATGGCACGTCTGGCTGGTCAAATTACATTAAGTAATACGTTACCACTGTTATACCGAGGCTGTTGTCTCCCACAACTGCTGCTATAGCGAAATCTACCACAGAGATCTCAATTACCTCATGCAGCACGTGCGTAGCCACCCAGCTGCCATGTGACACCCTTCACTCTTCGTCTGCTTAGCAAGACGTGTTTCTCCTGCTGAAGCGTTCCTTGAAGATTTGGTGATATTTATTATAGTTTATTCTCTAATAAACTGTGCTTTTATGGGGCGTTGCGGTAGCTACGCTTGGTTATAATTTTCCCGCCAAACGAAAAATTTTTCCCGCCCTTTTTTCTATATACTTGCGGGGTTTCGCGTATGCACGTTGTGTTTTACGTTTCCCCTGTTCTTGTATGTTTTGGGGGTTAACATCACTTATTTCTTTAATAAAAGTTATATCTGTATGTTATATGTTCACATTGCTCGTTTATTTTCTTGTGAAAATGTTCGTTTGTGAATCATTGTGGTGCGTGCGTTGTAACCATGTTTTGTTCTTTGTTTATAGCAAACAATCAATGTCTGACATGGATATGTCCCCAGTATCCACCCCCTCTACCCCTGCTCCTCGGAGTTGTGGGGTGTGCAGAAAGTTTTTGTCGTCCCGGGATCCCCACGATCGTTGCCCGCGGTGCAGGGTTCCTTGCGGGGACACCCGGTGCATCCTGTGCGAGGTCTGGGGCCTGCGGAGTTTGAGCGGTACCGGCTGTACGTACAGTCCGTCTCCACCCCTGTGGTGGCCGGTTCGTCCGGTTGGGGTCCCCGTGCGGGTACCACCTCCTCGGCTGCGGCGGATCCCCTTGCGGCCCTCGGGCTGTCTGGGGATTCCGTCGCCGCATTGTTGTCGAAACTTGTGGTCTCCAAGCTGGCGGCCTTATCGCAAGATAGGCCGCTGGCTGTTCCGTCCCCGGCCTCTTCGGTGGCCGCGGGGTCGGACGCGGGGTCCACCGGTAAAGCGGCGGATCTCTTGGCGGCCCGTGTGCTGTCCGGGGATTCCGTCGCTGCATTACTTGCATAACTTGTGGACTCCAAGCTGGCGGCCTTATCTCAGGATAGGCCGCTGGCTGTTCCGTCCCCGGCCACTTCGGTGGCCGCGGGGTCCACCGGTACGGCGGCGGCTCCCGTGGTCACCGGTCCTTCCCCCGAACCGTTGCTCCCGCTATGGGTTTAGGACCGCGTGGCCATGGTTTATGACCTCTTTGAGGACATGCCCCGGCCAGTACCGCGGGGAATCCACGACTGTGGGTTCCTCCGAGGTATACGATGAGTCTTCCGACACGGCTTTCCCCGCATCCACCTTGCTGCGCGGTTTCAAGCCTTCCTTCCTTGCACCAGCTGGACGCCCTCGCTCGGCACTCCATGTCTCACGGAGACACTTACTTGGCTGCAGCGGCCCGTCTGGTCGAAGGTTCTCCCACGGACCGTGACCAGCGCATTTACAACTGCCTGCTCAGTTTAAATGCTTCCCTGGAGTACGTTGCCGAGGACTCTCGGCACACACTTGCTCTTGTTGGGTCCCTGCATAGGCGCCTGGGTGCCGCTCCTAACCGGAGCGCGCCCCAGGCTGCTGCGGCCGGTAGGTCTAAGGGGTCGGGTTCTTCTTCCTCTGGGAAGTAGCCCCGCCCTGAGGGCTCCGGTATGGGCAATCAGCTGCCCTTTCGCGGGAAGACGGGGAACTGGGGGAAGCCCAAGTCGTCGACGGACGGCAAGGGCCCCTCCAGGTGACTCTCATTGGAGGGGTTCGTATGCCGACAGCGCCAACTTCGGTTGGCCCTTAGGCGAACCCGAGTCACTTGGCCCTGGACAGTTGCGCCTGCCGCAACCTGTCAGGGCCCCCTCTCCTTCCCCAGTGGGAGCCAGACTCCAGACTTACTGGGAGAATTGGGAACAAGTGTTCGACGACCCGTGGGTGATCAACACGATTCGGTACGGCTATCGGCTTGATCTCAAAGCAAATCCGCCGCTCACCGTTGCCCCGTTGGCAGGTTTCGATTCGGAAACCGATCTTCCCATCCTCGCCGATGCCATCGGCAGGTTGGTGGAGAAGGGGCAGTACGGGAGTTAGCTCTACCAGACATAACACCGGGGTTTTACTCCAGGATATTTCTCGTTCCCAAGTAGGACAGTGCCGAACTCAGAATGATTCACACGTCCGCTCCCTGGCTGTTCCCCCCGGTTAACCACCCCCATAGTGGGGTTCCTCCACAGGAGGGGTGTCCGGTACTTCGCGTACCTGGACGACTCGCTAGTAGCAAATCGAATGACGGACACCCTGTCACGCCATCTCGTTTTCGCACGTCGGCTCTTGGAGCAATTTGGGTGGATTATCAATCTCCCCAAGAGCGAGTTAACCCCTTCTCAGAACTTGCTGTTCATCGGAGGTCGGTTCAACACGGTGTCCCATCCCCTCTTTGTCCCCCCAGACCGGTGGCACAAAATTCAGGCGATGATTGCCAAAGTCTTAGCGGTGCAACAGACTGTTCACTTTTGGGAACAGCTGTTAGGGCTACTTGTATCAGCCCAGGACTGCACCGCACGGGGTCGTCTCCAACTCCGCCCGCTGCATCGGTTTTTAATCCAGTTGTTAGCAACGGAGGTGAACAGTGCGACCGTCGCCCTCCCGGATCGGCTCCGACCGCATCTGGAGTGGTGGACGGTCCCTTACATTGTCTTATCAGGAGTCTCTATGCGGCCCTACTGGGCCACGTTGACCCTGTATACAGACGCCTCTCTAGTGGGCTGGGGCGCCCATCTAAAGGGGGAGGTGAGCTCGGGGCTGTGGTGCATAGACGAACTAGGTCTTCACATCACTTGGATCTTTCCTTGGTGTTGCAATCACTTACGGAAGCTCCGTATGAACCCTTGCATAGTGCTTTGTTCTGGCATGTGACTTGGAAAACAGCATTTCTCCTCTCCTTTGCCACGGCGGCACGTGTATCCGAAATTCATGCACTCGATGTCGCCAAGGTGCGATTCGATAGGGGTGACGAAGGAGCGGTCCGCCTGGGCCTGCTCATGGGCTTCGTCGCCAAGAATCAGAGAGTCGGGCAAACGGAGAGAGAATTCACTGTAAGATCACTCAAAGAAATCTTACATCCTGCTGATACTGAGGACAGAGCGCTGTGTCCGGTTAGGGCCCTTAAGTATTATCTTAAGGCTTCGAATGAACGTAGACAAGGGCGTGACCGTCTGTTCATATCGTGTAACCCTAATCGCACGGTTGACATAACTCGCAACTCGATTGCGTTGTGGCTTCGTTCTGTCATCAATCTGGCGTACCGGTCTCGGGGGTTACCGGTAGCGGGGTCAAACCCGCACGAGATCAGGGCGCTAGCGGCAACATTTGCCCTACACTCGAATATCTCTGTTCGCAGAATATTACGAGGTTGTTACTGGCGTTCTGACTCGGTTTTTGCCAATCATTACCTCAAACAGGTCGCTGATGCCGTCGTGGAGAGTGTGCACCGTCTTGGCCCGCGGATCGCGGCGCAAGCGGGCACCTAAGGGGTGTGCCCAGCGCAATTCCGAACTCCTCAGGCGTCTGACCTTGCACGGTGGTCAATCTGGGTCTACTCCATTGTTCCCACTGCCGTGGGTACAGGAGTTGGGGTCCCGCAAACCAGCGCACTCACACCACAGGTGAGGGCGGCTTTTTGTGTGCTTTGTCCTTATTTGTATTTTGACAATTATGTCTTTAATTGTCTGTCGTGTATCCCAACCTTGTGATGCATGCTTACAAATACTGGAATTAGGTCACGCGCCTAATGCATACTTTAAGTAGGCTTGCTCTGGGATATACGGTCTGAATGAAATTAATTTCCCTCTTTTCGACTGTTTAACCTGATCTAAGATTAAGCTCACGCGGATACAGTGTTCTCATCCGCTGCGGCGATGAAATACCTATCCAGTGGGGCCGTTTGGAGTCACCAATCGTTTTGGCAATGACGATTGAGCCTTACGGTATGCGCTTGACAGTGCTTTGGTATTCCTATAGGGTAACGCCTAGCTAGGTGCATGCGCATCGAGTGCTTCCGCCTTGGTGTTTACTTCCGCTGGTCGGAAGGAACGCTAGCAGTCAGGATTCGGGTTGTAGGTGCTCCCCACCGCCTACTGTGGTAGTCAGCCTCGGTATAACAGTGGTAACGTATTACTTAATGTAATTTGTAGAATTTTCTATTCGGAATATTCTATAAGTAATACGTTACCACTGGGCTGCTGCCCGCCCGTCCGTCCCCCTAGCACTTGCTCTCGCAGGAGACAAGAGTGAAGGGTGTCACATGGCAGCTGGGTGGCTACGCACGTGCTGCATGAGGTAATTGAGATCTCTGTGGTAGATTTCGCTATAGCAGCAGTTGTGGGAGACAACAGCCTCGGTATAACAGTGGTAACGTATTACTTATAGAATATTCCGAATAGGAAAATTCTACAAAATTTCACCCCTTCTGTGTATATGTTTAATTTTTATCCCCCGCCGCGCGAAAGCGCAAGGCGGGGGATATAGTATTCACGACCGTCCGTACGTCCCACCTGTTTGTTGCCGCAATATCTCAAGAACTAAACACTGGATTGTCTTCATATTTGGAACTATGGTGTATATACAGACTCCGCAGACACCAGTCGGTTTTGGTGACCTTGACCCCATTTTCAAGGTCACAGCAGGCATATCTGCTTTTGGAGTTGGAAAACGGTGTTGCCGCGATATCTCAAGAACTAAACACTGGATTGTCTTCATATTTGGAACTATGGTGTATATACAGACTCCGCAGACACCAGTCGGTTTTGGTGACCTTGATCCCATTTTCAAGGTCACAGCAGACAAATCTGCTTTTAGAGTTGGAAAACGGTGTTGCCGCGATATCTCAAGAACTAAACACTGGATTGTCTTCATATTTGGAACTATGGTGTATATACAGACTCCGCAGACACCAGTCGGTTTTGGTGACCTTGATCCCATTTTCAAGGTCACAGCAGACAAATCTGCTTTTAGAGTTGGAAAACGGTGTTGCCGCGATATCTCAAGAACTAAACACTGGATTGTCTTCATATTTGGAACTATGGTGTATATACAGACTCCGCAGACACCAGTTGGTTTTGGTGACCTTCATCCCATTTTAAAGGTCACAGCAGGCAAATCTGCTTTTGGAGTTGGAAAACGGTGTTGCCGCGATATCTCAAGAACTGTACACTGGATTGTCTTCATATTTGGAACTATGGTGTATATACAGACTCCGCAGACACCAGTCGGTTTTGGTGACCTTGACCCCATTGTCAAGGTCACAGCAGGCAAATCTGCTTTTGGAGTTAGAAAACGGTGTTGCCGCGATATCTCAAGAACTAATCGCTGGATTGTCTTCATATTTGTAACTATAGTGTATATACAGACACCGCATACACCTGTCAGATTTGGTGACCTTGACCCCATTTTCAAGGTCACAGCAGGCAAATCTGTTTTTGGAGTTGGAAAACGGTGTTGCCACAATATCTCAAGAACTAATCGCTGGATTGTCTTCATATTTGGTACTATGGTGTACAGGCGGGGGATATTTCGTCACTCTGTGACAAATACTTGTTTTAATTGGACACTGCTTGTGAATCATGTAATTTTGATGAGAAAATAGTTAGGTGGGATGGGGTCATGTGTATGGTTAATTCAAAGAATGACATCTCGGTAGAATGGCCAGCATTTTGTAATGTTGTGTACAACAACATCATTATTTGCTCATAAATCATCACGAAATGAGGCAAATGGAAGCCAAGATTTGAGGGTGAGGAGTTCTAAAATTACCAAGCCCAACTAGGTGGCTATATGACCTCAGATTCGGCCACTTCGGGGCCTCCACCATTTAGTTGTAGGCCAGTTTGGAGAAAGGCCAGTAACTTTTATAAGGAGCAATATCTGCTGGCTACATACAAATTTGTTGTAAAATGTACCAGTTACATGTAGGATTGACAAGACATGTACATGTACCGCAATAGGTAAATCATCAGTCAGTCTCCAACCTGAAGAAACAGTGGTGTACATATCTCTTTAACATTTATAAAGAGATATGGTTTCTTTGCTCCTAAATAGGCATTATATGAAAAATAATAACAAATAAGAACATTTCTGTATTTTCTGCCATGGGATAAAGTGAACTTGTGCCACTTGCACAAAGCGATCTTAGCACTAAGATGATCTTAACTCCCATACTTTAACATAGGCTTACAATAGTCGTAGCGCTAAGATCGCTTTGTGCAAGTGGGCCCAGGTGCCATTGCTATTTAGGAATTAAAACATTGTAACACCACCCTACAGAGACAGTAACATGTTCAAATGTTTTATATTTCTTTTGTTATCCCATTTCAGTGATGTAAATGTATTTTTAACATAGTTATGGATCAAAGACTGAGTTATTTAAGTCAGCTGTAATTGTGTGTTGCAGATAGAGAATGTGACACTGGAGGTGCCATTCCCAAAGTCCGTCCTGAACGTCACGCTCTCCACCAGTCAGGGGAAGTACACGTTTGACCCTGTCACCAAACTCATGACGTGGGATGTCGGCAAGATCGATGCATCTAAATTGCCAAATATCAAAGGCAATGTAAGCAAGGATACTTTTCTACAGTCTTAACTGAAACAACCCGTGAAGATCTCAGTTACAATAAGTCTTCAGCAACCCATGCTTGCCGTAAAAGGTGACTAACAGAATCGGATGGTCAGGCTTGCTGACTTGGTTGATGCATGTCATTGTATCCCAATTGAGTGGATCGATGCTCATTATGTCAATCACTGGATTGTCTGGGCCATACTCGATTTTTTACAGACCGCCTTTATATAGCTGGAATATTGCTGAGTGTGGCGTTAAACAACAAACAAACAAAGTTCACTGAAACATACATTGGTTCTAGGGTCATCACATTCTGTGTTATAACATGTTTTACTTGATACAAAGAGTATGCTTGATCTTGAGTTTCCATTCAGGATTGGAGTCGTATCACAGCAACCTATGTAAGAGTTGACAGATTGGCTGGTCAGACTTGGTGACTTGGTTGACTGTGGTGTGGCCTCGTAGTTCGAGCATTGGCTCGTCACACCGAAAACCAGGGTTGATCCCCAAAATTGTTAAGACACATCGTGTCCATTCTTGGTGTCTTAGGGCTGAAATAATGCTGAAAGTGTGAATATAACTCAGATTCTTCTCTGTGAGAGAGATTTTTGCTCTTCTGGAGCCAAGGGAATCATTGAAAGACTTTTGTTTGGGTTGGTTGTTTTCTCAGTGTGTTGCAGTGGATGCTTCAGTGGTGTGAACATTCAGCTTGTGTTTTCAGATTAGTCTACAAACGGGTGCTGCTATCCCTGAGTCCAACCCTGTGTGTACGGTAAGACAGTTGTTCCAGCCCCATGCTTCCTGCTTCCTGTGAGACTCGGGGACAGCATGTGTCACCAGGGTTTCTCAGTAAACCAGTATCAAAATATTGATGTGCAATACTCGACTCACAATTGGCCTTCCCCACGTATTGATATGCAATACTTGTCACCATAAGCCTTCCCCACATATTGATATGCAATACTTGTCACCATAAGCCTTTCCCACATATTGATATGCAATACTTGTCACCATAAGCCTTCCCCACATATTGATATGCAATACTTGTCACCATAAGCCTTCCCCACATATTGATATGCAGTACTTGAGTCACCATAAGCCTTTCCCACATATTGATATGCAATACTTGAGTCACCATAAGCCTTCCCCACATATTGATATGCAATACTTGTCACCATAAGCCTTCCCCACGTATTGATATGCAATACTTGAGTCACCATAAGCCTTTCCCACATATTGATATGCAATACTTGTCACCATAAGCCTTCCCCACATATTGATATGCAATACTTGTCACCATAAGCCTTCCCCACATATTGATATGCAGTACTTGAGTCACCATAAGCCTTTCCCACATATTGATATGCAATACTTGAGTCACCATAAGCCTTCCCCACATATTGATATGCAATACTTGTCACCATAAGCCTTCCCCACGTATTGATATGCAATACTTGAGTCAACATAAGCCTTTCCCACATATTGATATGCAATACTTGTCACCATAAGCCTTCCCCACATATTGATATGCAGTACTTGTGTCACCATAAGCCTTTCCCACGTATTGATATGCAATACTTGTCACCCATCCACACACCCCACCCCCCTTTATTTTTAAGAAAATTGGCTACATAGACTAATGTGTGGAAATTTTCTGACTAATGCATATATAGCCAGTTGACGACTCATGAACCCCTAACTCACTCAAGTGTATTTTTCAGGTGACATTTACAATAAGTCAGCTGGCTGTGTCGGGAATCAAAGTGAATCGGCTGGACATGTATGGCGAGGTAAGACAACATCTTCGTTAACTGTACACAGTACACTCCTTGTCTTACACAACCTTCTGTCAAACAGGAATAGCTAGATCAGTCTGACACTGTTGGTCTAACATTGCCTTCCGTCAAACAGCAATAGCTAGATCAGGCTGACAGTGTTGGTCTAATGTAACCCTCTGTCAAACAGGAATAGGTAGGTCAGTTTGACACTCCTGGTCTAACATTGCCTTCTGTCAAACAGGAATAGCTGGATCAGTCTGACAGTGTTGGTCTAATATAGTCTTCTGTCAAACAGGAATAGCTAGATCAGTCTGACAGTGTTGGTCTAACATTGCCTTCTGTCAAACAGGAATAGCTAGATCAGTCTGACACTGTTGGTCTAACATTGCCTTCTGTCAAACAGGAATAGCTAGATCAGGCTGACAGTGTTGGTCTAACATTGCCTTCTGTCAAACAGGAATAGCTAGATCAGTCTGACACTCCTGGTCTAACACAGCCTTCTGTCAAACAGGAATAGCTAGATCAGGCTGACACTGTTGGTCTAATATAGTCTTCTGTCAAACAGGAATAGCTAGATCAGTCTGACACTGTTGGTCTAACATTGCCTTCTGTCAAACAGGAATAGCTAGATCAGTCTGACACTGTTGGTCTAACATTGCCTTCTGTCAAACAGGAATAGCTAGATCAGTCTGACAGTGTTGGTCTAACATTGCCTTCTATCAAACAGGAATAGCTAGATCAGGCTGACACTCCTGGTCTAACAAAGTATTCGGTCAAACAGGAATAGCTAGATCGGTCTGACAGTGTTGGTCTTACATTGCCTCCTGTCAAACAGGAATAGCTAGATCAGTCCGACAGTGTTGGTATAACATTGCCTCCTGTCAAACAGGAATAGCTAGATCAGTCTGACACTGTTGGTCTAACATTGCCTTCTGTCAAACAGGAATAGCTAGATCAGGCTGACACTGTTGGTCTAACATTGCCTTCTGTCAAACAGGAATAGCTAGATCAGTCTGACACTCCTGGTCTAACAAAGTATTAGTTCAAACAGGAATAGCTAGATCAGGCTGACACTGTTGGTCTAACATTGAACCTGTCAGAAAGGAATAGCCATGTTTGGCCGAAACTCCTTGTCTAACGTAACGCTCTGTTAAACACTCCATTGAACTCCCTGAACTAAAAGATATCACAGACATTAAACAGATGCCCCTCAGCTAAGGATATCAACACAACAAAGACCCCCATCAGTGTAAATAATTTGATTTTAGAAATTGTTATACCTTGGTTTCAGTTTGTGCAGTTCATCCAAGCTCAAAATTCTGTTTAATACAATATGGTTTATTTTTTTAGTTCTTCCTTTTCTTTGGCTGATACATGTATTTACTAATTCATGGCAGGTGCTTTTTGTGTTACCATGGTTACAGGAAGCCTGTTGTAGCGTTTTCTGTATTTTTCTAAAATGTTTTCACTTCTATGCCTTTCTTTTTGACATTTAACATGCTTTCTGTTGGAAGATATCAATATTCAGTGTCTGTGTTTGGAAATTGGCCAGGTTTAGAAACAATAATTTATATACATTACCCTGTACACAATAATGATATGCTGTCTATTGTGTGTATATTACACATGTTAAATAACAAGGGAAGTTTGTTTAATGAAGGTGTTAATGGCATGAGTTCCAGAGTTGTGCTTTAGATCCATGTTTCATTATAACACAACAGTTGTGTGCAAACAGTATCTGTCGACTTACACAAAAGGTTGACATGAAACCTCTGATGGACCAGTCGGAATAAAGTATTTTCCAAATTCATGGTCATCTTTCATTTACGGATAAATAATGGGAAAAAAAAAGACTTAGAGAAAATCATCTGCACTGACCTTTTTGTCATGGTGTAGAAAAACGCCTGTTCTATTAAGATTCCAAGATGTCAACTATCCATTTTTGTCCTTCCATAACTCAGTGCTACAGTGTTTAAATGTCTAGTCAGGCCACACAAAGAAATGTTTCTCATTGCTGTGTCTTCATTTTAAACCAAGCCGCTAAATAATTTAAATTTTCTGGTTCCAAATTCAGCCATTCCTAATTTTCTGAATTTCAGATATTAGTCTTCAGTTTGTCTTCTTTTGTTCTTTGTCAGAAAACAAAACATTGTCCAAAACGTGGCGAAAAAACCCTGCTCCTCTTGCCATTTTTACAATCTGGAATTGCTAAGAAACATTATTTTGTATGTGTAGCCTAAACCTGAATTATTGATAAAAAAGACCCTAAGAACACGATGTACTGTAAGTGAAATATAAATTAAAGCAATAGATATCTAAGGCGTAATAAAATAATTATTAGAATCACTATGAAACTCTAAGCTTCCCACATTTGGTTGTTGCCAAGTACTTACAGAAAATTTGTGTTCCAATCTTGCTTTGTTTGATAAAGTATACGATGTTCATGTCCTACAAAACATTCATCCTTTGTTTGAATCACATCAGTTTACGCAGATACCTGGAACAGTTTAAGATAGTTAGAAAAATATGCCTCCTCCCTGAAAAACCCTTAAAGATTCCAGAATAGAATAGGTCTTCAGCAACCCATACTTGCCGTAAAAGGTGACTATGCTTGTCGTAAATGGCGATTAACGGGATCGGGTGGTCAGGCTCGCTGACTTGGTTGATGCATGTCATCGATCCCAAATGCGTGGATCGATGCTCATGATATTAATCACTGGATTGTCTGGTCCAGACTCGATTATTTACATTCGCCGTCATATAGCTGGAATATTGCTGAGTGCGTTGTTAAACAACAAACAAACCAAACCTCCCTGAAAATTATGGATGAAATCTTACAATTTCTAGTGGCCTACTAAGAAAAAGGATTTCTAGGTTGTGAGGAATGTTTCCTTGGCTGCAGTAGCTTCTCGGGTTTGTGTATGGGAGTACGTGACCCACACAGACCTGGCTTCGGAGGGCGGCTGTACGTTCTAACCTTTGATTGGGTTATTCCTGTTCATCTCTTACTAATTACCAGCTCATTATGTTTCACTTCATCATGTCATGATTACCCTGTCATCCCACACTTGCTATTTTTTCAATTTTCACGAATACTTGTCTTTGTACTTGAAAGATGATTTGGTCAGTGTGTAATTTTTGTCGGAGTTGTTTTTGTACCCTATTAAAAGATATTTTAAACTCAGGAACAAAAAAGTAGTTATCGGCAGATCCAGAAGTGTGAAAAATGGGATGCTGACAACCGAAGTGACAATGTGAATAAACACACTTGGTTGAAGGACATTGCTGGGAAAATGAGGTGTTTACGCCAATTTGATACCTCACTGCAAGATCTGACAAACCCTATTGAGGATTCTACTGTGGAAGGACCAGGTGAACCCTGAATGAACTTTGGCCACCAATCAAAACTTAGGAGGTGTCGTATTTTCAGGCAATCAGATGCACCTTTTAAAATAATTCAAACTCAATCTTTATTTTTGTCAAATTGATCTGTTGTCAGTGGCAGTTTGTAGGTGTTAATTTCTTCTCCCATCCCTGTCCCTAAACAAAATGAAAGCCATGTTGCGACCTTGATTTTCTTCATTTGGAACTGCCCATTTGCATTCGTTATCCTGCTAAAGAAATCAAACATGCTGTTCCAAATGTTTTGCTCAATGGTACAAAGAATTTTGTTCTCCTGACAGATCTTGACGGAGCAATGTATCGAATTGTAGTAAGAGGTCTAATAATTAGAAGATCATCTTGTAAACAAATGCAGCACCATATATGTATCATCAAGCTGCTATCTCAGAAAAGTCAGGTTGCCAAGCATCATAATTTGATGAATATTAGGAAATTCTGCAAATGAATGCATAATACAATAATCTACTGTGCTGTGGGTAGTGCTCCCTTGATGGCATCGTTAGGACGTGTTGGAGATTGTTGATGTCAGCTGTTCAGATCAATAAGCCACTACTCATGTAAACACTGACCAAATCTTTAATCAAGCACAGATACATATATATATTTATATTATATAATGATAATCATGATAATCATGCCGAGTTCATGTCTTCCCACAGATACTTATTCCGGATTTTAAAAAACATAAATAAAAAATGGATTGCTGTATTAACATCAACGTCCTCTTTTCAGTGCATGCAGATAACACTCCTTGATAACTGGCAATATTTCATTTGCAAGGTCTTCTGCAGATGCCAGTGATTAAAACACTTCAAATTGTCATGTAAGAAAGTATTAATCATACCGGTCGGGCCACATTTGAAATTGATAATAATAGGCCATTTTTCGGTCAAGGAATTATCATCTGCAAGGAAGACATGAAAGCGAAAATGATGTTCTGTATTAAATTGGTAGTTTTGGTTGTATATGAGCCTCAGTTTTAAGAATTTTGCCTTAAACAGGGTGATCAAAAAGTGAGTACCTGCTTCCTCTCTTGCTGTGAATGTTATATCTTCCCTAACTGTCCTCTTGACACTAACTGTGGGGCGTTTAGCATGGGCGGGACGCCGAGGGGGACGTGTTGGTGTGGAGACATTGACAAGTCCTGGGGGAGTCCCGACTCGGATGTCGTCGGCGGGGATTTGTTCATGTCTTCTTCTTGTTCCTGTTCCTGTAGGTGTGGTTGTGTAGTTTCTTGTCTAATGGTATTAAGTCATTGTCAGTGTTAAGGTTTGGGATCGTTCTGCTTGAAGAGGTAGGTAGGTAGGTAGGTAGGTCAGTGGTCTGGGTGTTCACTAACAGACTGTGGACTCAGGTTGAGTCCCAACCTTATATGAAGCAGTGGTGCAATAATTTTGGGGTAAAGTGTTCCTATGGGGAGCCAGCTGACCAACCCATATTTTCAATGAGAGTTGTGTCCCCTAGCCACCAGGATTCAGAGTAATAAATTCCTATATTCACCATGATGATATAATTGAAATACCACGTTTGGCACAACTCACTCAGGTTACTCCACTGACCCCAGGCAGAGTTTGATGCCCACACTGTCATGGGTTTCCCTGCTCCACTCTTAAGCGTTGCATGTTGGAATGCCAGATTCACCAAGAATATGTTTCTAGGATTGCCACCACTGCTTGTGGGTTTAACAAAAATGGAAATATCAAAGTCCAGCATCACTTCGTCTTTCCTCCCTCGTCAAGCTGACGTACATTGACTTAAGTGAATTACTGTTTAAAGTAGTTTTAGGCCAAGGTTGCTCACTCACATGTCGCATGATTCGCTCCAGCCAATCGTGTTATTCTTGATGCATGGCGTTGAAAAAAAGCACGTATTTGCGGAAAAAGCACGTATATGGTTGACCCAGTGAAGGTTCATCATCATTGACATCAGGTGTGATGGGTATATGCTAAGAACTAACACTAGCTAGACTTGCCTGGGTATGTAGTGTGTAACATAGTAGCACACTTGGTTGTGGTATTGGTCTAATCTTGCTATGACTATGTTCTTTCTTGTCAGCCATGTTTGTTGAGGAAAGATATGGATGTTTTGTCTCCACTTGTTGAGCAGAATATACTTGATAGTAGTGCCTCTTCCCTGTATGTTGTGACCTCCTCTGTAAGTGATAGCTCCCTTTAAGTGATAACTCCCTTTAAGTGGTGACCTCCTCTGTAAGTAATAACTCCCTTTAAGTGATAACTACCTTTAAGTGATAACTCCCTTTAAGTGATAACTCCCTTTAAGTGGTGACCTCCTCTGTAAGTAATAACTCCCTTTAAGTGATAACTCCCTTTAAGTGATAACTCCCTTTAAGTGATAACTCCCTTTAAGTGGTGACCTCCTCTGTAAGTGATAACTCCCTTTAAGTGGTGACCTCCTCTGTAAGTGATAACTCCCTTTAAGTGGTGACCCACTCTGTAAGTGATAACTCCCTTTAAGTGATAACTCCCTTTAAGTGGTGACCTCCTCTGTAAGTAATAACTCCCTTTAAGTGATAATTACCTTTAAGTGATAACTCCCTTTAAGTGATAACTCCCTTTAAGTGGTGACCTCCTCTGTAAGTGATAACTCCCTTTAAGTGATAACTTCCTTTAAGTGATAACTCCCTTTAAGTGGTGACCTCCTCTGTAAGTGATAACTCCCTTTAAGTGATAACTTCCTTTAAGTGATAACTTCCTTTAAGTGATAACTCCCTTTAAGTGGTGACCTCCTCTGTAAGTGATAACTCCCTTTAAGTGATAACTCCCTTTAAGTGATAACTCCCTTTAAGTGATAACTCCCTTTAAGTGGTGACCTCCTCTGTAAGTGATAACTCCCTTTAAGTGATAACACCCTTTAAGTGATAACTCCGTTTAAGTGGTGACCTCCTCTGTTAGTGATAAATCACTTTAAGTGGTGACCTCCTCTTTAAGTGATAACTCCCTTTAAGTGGTGACCTCCTCTGTAAGTGATAACTCCCTTTAAGTGATAACTTCCTTTAAGTGATAACTTCCTTTAAGTGATAACTTCCTTTAAGTGATAACTCCCTTTAAGTGGTGACCTCCTCTGTAAGTGATAACTCCCTTTAAGTGATAACTCCCTTTAAGTGATAACTCCCTTTAAGTGGTGACCTCCTCTGTAAGTGATAACTCCCTTTAAGTGATAACTCACTTTAAGTGATAACACCCTTTAAGTGATAACTCCGTTTAAGTGGTGACCTCCTCTGTTAGTGATAAATCACTTTAAGTGGTGACCTCCTCTTTAAGTGATAACTCCCTTTAAGTGGTGACCTCCTCTTTAAGTGATAATTCACTTTAAGTGGTGACCTCCTCTGTAAGTGATAACTCCCTTTAAGTGATAACACCCTTTAAGTGGTGACCTCCTCTGTAAGTGATAACTCCCTTTAAGTGGTGACCTCCTCTTTAAGTGATAATTCACTTTAAGTGGTGACCTCCTCTGTAAGTGATAACTCCCTTTAAGTGATAACACCCTTTAAGTGGTGACTTCCTCTGTAAATGGTGACTTCCTCTGTAAGTGATAACTCTGTGTAAGTAATAACTCTCTTAAGTGATACCTCCCTGTAAGTGATAACTCTATGTAAGTGATAACTACCTGTAAGTGATAACTACCTGTAAGTGATAACTCCCTGTAAGTGATAACTCTCTGTAAGTAATAACTCTCTTAAGTGATAACTCCCTGTAAGTTATAACTACCTGTAAGTGATAACTCTCTTAAATGATAACCCCCTGTAAGTGATAACTCTATGTAAGTGATAACTCCCTGTAAGTGATAACTCTCTGTAAGTAATAACTCTCTTAAGTGATAACTCCCTGTAAGTTATAACTCCCTGTAAGTGAGAACTCTCTTAAATGATAACCCCCTGTAAGTGATAACTCTATGTAAGTGATAACTCCCTGTAAGTGATAACTCTCTGTAAGTGATAACTCCCTGTAAGTGATAACTACCTGTAAGTGATAACTCCCTGTAAGTGATAACTGCCAGTAAGTGATAACTCCCTGTAAGTGATAACTCCCTGTAAGTGATAACTACCTGTAAGTGATAACTCCCTGTAAGTGATAACTACCTGTAAGTGATAACTCCCTGTAAGTTATAACTACCTGTAAGTGATAACTCTCTTAAGTGAGAACTACCAACCGTAGTATATTCAGACAGTCCAAGTGGGAGTTGTCATGGGTTGTCTCCCCTTCCCTGTTGTGCGTGGTGGAGTCTCATCCGAACACTGCATGGCGCCGCTGCATGCTCTCCCTGAGGAGAAGCACCGACTACCATTGTTTCTGCCTCTCAACATCAGCATCCTGCTTTCTACTCCATCACTCATATAATTGTTGGAATGCTTTGATATATAAGTCATTATTCATTCATATGAAAATCTAGCACTACATTCCTCAAGTGAGGACTCAATCCATGGGACAGCTACCAGTCTTAGGAATGCTCCATTATTCTATCTTTTTAAAACATTCTTCTAAAATGGATTGGGTGCATGATCTTTGATGGCTCCCATTTCTGGTGTCCCCTTTGATATTGCTGGAATATTGCTAGAAGTGGCTTAAAAGACAACTCTCTCACTCACACACTCACCCAGTGGTGTGTGGTGATGCAGTTTGCCGTACTGAATTGTGTCCCTTAGCATTGCAAGGATCCTGTTTACGGTTTCAACCTAATTCTGATCTTTGGTATGTCAGCACCATGTTGATGCTTGTGCATTTCACCAGCGCAGTGAGTGAGTGAGTGAGTGAGTGAACGAATGAATGAACAAGCTTAATGCAGCATCAGCAAGTTTCCAGCTGTTATGGATTAACACTCACACAATGAAGCACAGTTTCACTGGATGTTCATGATGTATCTTAGCCCTTGTCAGCTACAGAATTCAGCCCCAATCACTCAAAATACTCACTCTTATGCTTTAGGCAAAATTGGCTGATGTTCTCAGCATATTTTTCCAATTATTTCTTCATCTCAAAAAGCACCTTGAGGTTTTTACACTCAAACGATTAGACACTTGTGAAAACGTTCCACTCAAAATATCCTGGGTCATCCTTTTCACCACCCTGTTTAAGTTGTGTTGTTGTGTCCTTTGTTCGAGATTGTGTTCGAGATTGTGTTTGAGATTGTGTTTCAGCAGATGTGGCATGATCCTGATGAATATCAAGCTGTTTTAGTAGATTCTCACCCATTTTGTCATCTGTGTATTTGTAAACATCAGAGATGCCAACCAAATCAACTGTTAAATAAATGTCAGCTCTTTCATTATGACGAGAAATATAAATGTTTTTTGTATTTCATTTTTATCCTCATTATCAACATGTGATTTAAATCAGATGTTTTTCTCCGATATGATACCTCTCTGCATGAAGGTCTGAGGACACCTCCATGGGAGATCCCTGAGCGACCACCAAATCTAAATTTGGCGGTCTGGAGCCAGTCTGATGTCAGCTTTCTAAATGATTGTTAACGGGGTGGTCGGGTAGCCTAGTGGTTAAAGCGTTCGCTTGTCACGTCGAAGACCTGGGTTCGATTCCCAACATGGGTACAATGTGTGAAGGCCTTTTCTGGTGTCCCCCGCCGTGATATTGCTGGAATATTGCTAAAACCCGCATAAAACCATACTCACTCACTCATTTCTTAACACCTCGATGCAGACATTTTAATCTTATGAAAAGAAAATGCCTTGGAATGCAAACTACCCTCAATGAGTTAAAAATTAACACTAACCCGCGAGACAAATTCTTGTGGGCTAGTACAAATTTCAAATTTCCCCATTGTTTTAACATTACAAAGGCATTTATCTTTACCCAGGCTCCTAAAGCTTTTAAATGTAGTTCTAACCTTGTTTTGGGGGTAGATGCCATTGTGCTCAGAAGCAACAGTATGTACGAAATATCCGCAACACAGGGGGCTTAATGTTTTTGGCATGTGGAACTCCCCCCATGAGGTTCCTGAACACACAATGCCAGAAAGTGGACAAATGTAACAAATGTTATATTTGGGATAATACTTGATGTTCATTTTCGAGATACAGATGTCAGGTCTGCTTGTCTGAATGCTTCGCACTATCAATCGAAGAATTTAGAAGCCTCACTGCTTACTGGCTAATTAGAAAGTTCACCAGATGCAACCTCCTATGTGGTTGTCCTCAGATCTTCTCACAGAGAGCTATCATATCGGAGTAGGAGATCTGGGCTCCATTCTGCAAAGCCATCTTAGCACTAAGTCAAATGTAACTCCCATACTTTAACACTGACATAAGACAGTCATAGTGCTAAGATCACTTTGTGGAACGGGGCCCTGATATTAGATGAGATTGAAATGGTTGCTTACGAAAAATGTTCATTAGTACATCATGTACATTGAGTTATCTCCCTTACCATAAACAGGATTTCATATCTTCTGTTGACAGTCGATTCCTTTGGTTTCTCTGCTGTTGATCTAATTATTCAGTAGTCTGTTGTACAGTTTAAGCTAGATTGTACTGACTGCATGCTGAAAACGTAGAGGACTGCTGATGTATTTCAGTCTTAACCTTGCTTTGCATGGAGGGAAAAGGTTTTCAAGATGTTCGTAGTTCAGTATAAATTCATGTACTCATGAACTAATATTTAGTTTTAATATTGAGCTGTTATCAATATCTGTTAATCCTATCTTAACGTTAAGTTTATTTGAATTTTTTAAAATATTTCATTTATGATATATGTTGTTATTGCATCGGAAACAACAATATTTGTTGTGTCGCTCCCATGGAGTTCTGGGGTAGGATGGGTCCACACCACCCCATTGCTAGTCGTAAGAAGCGACTTGAGTGGGAAACCCATGTGGATTCAGGGATAGAACTGGTCCCTTGCAACTGTGGTGGTTGTAAGAGGCGACTTAATAGATCAGTTGGTTTTTCTCGGTGATTTGGTTGATAGCGTGTCAACGTACCCCGATAGCGTGGATCATTGCTCACAATGTCAATCACTGAATTGTCTGGTCCAGACTCAATTGTTTAAAGGCTGCGTCATTTGACTGGACTATTGCTGAGTGAGGTGTTAGGCATAGATAAACACACACACTCTCTGTATCAACTTTACCAAGTGAATTGTGCTTTGTTGGATTCATAATGTGGACGGGTGATCGGGTAGCCTAGTGGTTAAAGCGTTTGCTCGTCACGCCGAAGACCCGGGGTCCGATTCACGACATGGGTACAATGTGTGAAGCCCATTTCTGGTGTCCCCAACCCTGATATTGCTGGAATATTGCTAAAAGCGGCGTAAAACCATACTCAGTCAGTCAGTCAGTCATAATGTGGACAGATATTTGTTGAACGTGGTTTAACATGAATATTTCCCTTATCTGTATCGTTCATTTGACAAGGATTTATTTATTACAAACCTGCATACCCATCATCTTCCATCCTCGATAATCCTGTCGATCACATCTCCATTCTATCATGATAATAAATCCTGGGCCAGCAAGTGGATTTATTGCCAATACTCGACTTGCCTTGTGTGCATCTAAAAAACAGGAACTGGGACTGTCTTGTAGCATATGACTATCAATCCCTCTGTCTTCTACTCAGAATAACATATTTTCCCACTTAATAATAATAAAAACAGTCATCTGACTTTGTTCTCTATATCGAGGGCTCGCTCGTATGGGGCTGCAATTTTGAATGTTGATCTTTACTGAACTCGTATTCAGAAGTGGTATTTTGATTGGTTATTTATTTCAAACTCTTGATGTTGTGGCGAACAGGTCCAGGGTATGTCCATAGTTGAATGGAGATCGATACATGTATGATCAAATGGATAATGGAGGCCGTCATCTTCATGTGTTTTAGGAATCAGAAAAAAAGGAATGAAATAACTTTCCTGATTACCAAAAAAATTACCTAATTTTCCATTCTAAAAGTCAACCCTTGTTTTTACTGCCTGTCCAGGCAAAAGTTTTGAGATAATACTAACTGTGCCATAGTTTATGTCAAATTTAGGCCATGCCTTGAAGGTACTTTATTTTACCTTAAGACAGAAGGGTGAAAAAGTCAAATCTGATGCATTGGAAAATGGCTTGTGAACCATGACCGTGATGGCGAAAGACGCATCACACCAGCATTTTGTATTTAGTAGGCCTTGTTATTAAGGAACATTTGTAGGAACAAGTAGGAACATTTGTAGGAACAAGTAGGAACTGAACGAGTGAGTATGCTTTTGACGCCTCTTTTAGCAATAATCCAGCAATGTCATAGCAGTGGACACCAGAAATGGGGTTCACACATTGTACCCATCTGGGGGATCAAACTTGTGCCTTCGGTGTGACGAATAATCGCTTTTACCAATTGGTAACCCCACTGCCCAATGTATGAAAACATAACTGGTCGTCATGTGCAGCGTTAGAAACTAACAGTTTTCGTCCACTAGTCCTTATAATGATAACATATAGCAAAACCCTTAAAAATGGCAATTTTCTACTAGTCCTTATGATACCTTTACCATTCGGCAGTTTGGCAAGGACTATAGGACTAGTGCCAATTTTTAACCCTGCATGTGAATCCCTTTAAGCATTGTTTGTTTACATCATGGATCCACAGAATTTGGACTCTAGAAATATTTCGGTTTCTTCTTCTGCCGCTGTCATTGACCACGTGTTCACTTAGTTTCTCAGACAAATGCTAATCCATGTATAATTCATGTCATTTATACAAATGTTTCAAATAATTCAAATTTGATATACCGTATTAGACGTAATAAGCGCCCAGGGCGCTCTCAAAATTAGAAATAGGGGGCTCTTATTAGAATATAATTTTGGTGAGAAACAAATACAGAGTTGAAAGATCGTAAATTTTGTGATTTATGGTGACAGCCTGAAAAGAAACAAATGAAAAGTCTGTGCGTATTATACACGACAGATATATTTTCCAGGATTTAATTGCCCATAATTAAAGGTGCATATAACACACGAGTGCATATTATACGCGAATAAATAAGTGTTCATTGATCAATCGGAAGGGGTGCTAATTGGGATTGTTCACTAGCCAATATATTAGCAAATATTGCCGTGGGCGCTTATTAGAGCGGGGCGCTTATTACGTCGAATACGGTACACTGTGATATAACATTAACAATGTTGATATTCTCTGCTTTCAGAAATACAAACCTTTCAAGGGAGTGAAGTATTTAACAAGGGCGGGAAAGTTCCAGATTCGCACATGATCAACAAAGACTGTACTATTTGTGTTTCTGATTTCCATGTATGTAGGAGTATGCACATCATCACTGGGACATGATCAACAAAGACTGTACTATTTGTGTTTCTGGTTTCCATGTATGTAGGAGTATGCACATCATCACTGGGATGGCTGTACGGGACAGTCTGGTGCACAGAGACATTCTGACGATACGTCGGCAATACCTCACGGATTTGTATAAACTACATTCCTCCATCAACCCTGAATACATACAGCCACTGCGGTGTAGTCGATATGTAACGATTCAAGCGGTGGCCTGGCTACTGATAGATTGAAGCCAGCAAGTACTCAGACCAATGAGTTAGTGAGTTAAAATTTAAAGTCACATCAGTAGTATTTCAGCCATATCGGGACTATTAGGGCTGGTTATCGATATAGATCATTGAGATCGATAATTGTTAACAAAATATCAATCAATTATCGATAAATATAGATTATATTAAGCCAGCCCTAGTGACTATAAAATGTTATACATAGTAAATACACTGAAATCAGACCAAAGAAAGGCTTGCATTAGGCATCAGTCTTGCTTGACAACGGTATAAGGATCTATACCGAAACGTCGCTTTTTTTTGCTTTTTTTTACAGTATTAAAGAAGTTGTTATCCATAAAATTGTGTCTATCTTGCATTAGGCCTGTCTGCTCTGATTTCGGTTTAAGCAGATTTGTTTATGAACAAGTGAAAAGTCTGATCATGTGATATACAAATTAGTCCGTGGCAGTGGTTTAATGGTAAATCATCACTGCTCTGGAATGTAATCCATGAGTTATACACTTCCTCATTTCCTTGGCTCAGTTAAAATAGACGTTTGTCACCACATACCGGGGGTATCCTTGCCGAGCGATAGACGAACACAGTATATAAAAACTGTGATGTATTGACGACAGACAGTCGTAACAAGCTCATGGATACTTTGGTACCAATTGTGTGAAAGCGCCTCATTAACACACCAGGGTGCCGTTGTTCAAAACGATCTTAGCACTAAGATGATTGTAACACCCATACCTTAACATAGACTTACAACGGTAGTAGCTCTAAGGTGATCGTAACTCCCAATATCTTAACATTGACTCACGACAGTCGTAGCGCTAAGGTGATCGTAACTCCCATATCTTAACATTGACTCATGACAGTCGTAGTGCAAAGGTGATTGTACCTCCCATATCTTAACATTGACTCACGACAGTCGTAGTGCAAAGGTGATTGTAACTCCCATATCTTAACATTGACTCACGACAGTCGTAGTGCAAAGGTGATCGTTACTCCCATATCTCAACATTGACTCACGACAGTCGTAGTGCAAAGGTGATTGTAACTCCCATATCTTAACATTGACTCACGACAGTCGTAGTGCAAAGGTGATCGTTACTCCCATATCTCAACATTGACTCACGACAGTCGTAGTGCTAAGGTGATTGTAACTCCCATATCTCAACATTGAATCACAACAGTCGTAGTGCTAAGGTGATTGTAACTCCCATATCTCAACATTGACTCACAACAGTCGTAGTGCTAAGGTGATTGTAACTTCCATATCTCAACATTGACTCACAACAGTTGTAGTGCTAAGGTGATCGTAACTCCCATATTTCAACATTGACTCACGACAGTCGTAGTGCAAAGGTGATTGTAACTCCCATATCTTAACATTGACTCACGACAGTCGTAGTGCAAAGGTGATCGTTACTCCCATATCTCAACATTGACTCACGACAGTCGTAGTGCTAAGGTGATTGTAACTCCCATATCTCAACATTGACTCACAACAGTCGTAGTGCTAAGGTGATTGTAACTCCCATATCTCAACATTGACTCACAACAGTCGTAGTGCTAAGGTGATTGTAACTTCCATATCTCAACATTGACTCACAACAGTTGTAGTGCTAAGGTGATCGTAACTCCCATATTTCAACATTGACTCACGACAGTCGTAGTGCTAAGGTTGTTTTGTACAAACCACCCTGGTCCTCATTAATTATTACTTGAATTTGTCATTGGACCAGCATATTTGATGAAATTGTTGACCTAAGAATATGAATCGTCTAAGCCAGTACCAATGTGTTCACGTGTATGTAATGGACAATCCAGTTCCTTTATTAGTCTTGGCTTTATCAGTATCAGAGATGTATTGTTACTTTGATCATGCATCCGCCTGTTCTTTTCCTTAAAAAGCAGAAAGAAATTTAATAATGATTTGCTTAAAAATAAAGTTGGTTTGTTTTAACTAGGTGCTAGGTATTGCAGTGTTCTAAATTCCTTGTATTGTAGTGCCAATGACAGGTTAAAATCAGAAGTGCAGGGACCCAAAGGGCACACTTAGAAATCATGTTTTGTATATTACATGAATTCAGGGATAAATGTATTATCTCCTGCAAGAATCAAAATGTGACCTGAGTCATAAAATCATATGAACTAAGTTCAGTAGGTATGTCCTATGTCCTGTGTGAAAAAGGTTTTATAGAGTTGGACCTGCCTTGGTCGAACTCCTGTCAAAGTACACTTGTTCCTTGTGTGATAAGAAGGGGTTGAACATAGATGGGACTAGGTTTTAATCTTAGTTTAGTTGTTGTAAATAGTAGATATATGATGGATGTATTGCAGGATGTACCAGCAGTAAAAACACTACCCAGAAGGTTCGTGACTAGTAACATTATCAAAGGGCTTGTGGAATCACAGGAGTATTTCGTGAAATTCATGCATATTCATGGACCAACCTCCCGAAGGTCATCATTATGCTTGAATTTTGCTAAAATGTCCTGGGTGCCATTGTACAAGGCGATCTAAGGTGATTGTGACTCCCAAACCTTAACAGATTTACGACAGTCGTAGAGCTAAGGATGGCTTGTACAGCAGCACCTTTAGTTGACCGAAGAAGACCAGTAGCTCTATTGGTTTGTTCAGTGTCACAGGAAGCTCGTCTACCTTCTTAGGGGGCGGTCCGGGAGCCTAGTGGTTAAAGCGTTCGCTCGTCACACCAAAGACCCGGGTTCGAGTCCGGACATGGGTACAATGTGTGAAGCCCAGTTCTGGTGTCCTCCGCCGTGATATTGCTGGAATATTGCTAAAAGCGGTGTAAAACCATAGTCACTCACTCACTCTACCTTCTTAGTGCGATGTGGGACAATGAGGGACATCAGTTCTTCCATGAAGATACATGTGGATCAAAACACTACGTTTGGAGAAAAGTCATTTTCTAGCTTCCACAAAACATAAAGGTCCTATTCCTCAGGCCTTCTTCCCCACAGCAACCTTAGCGCCACATTATTGTAAGTCAAACAGTGAGGGTTACGATCATCTTAGCGCTGAGATCATTTGTGGATTGTGCCCAGATGCATCCGACTACAATCCATGGGCTGATGAAGTGTTAATGTTATTGCCAATTGCTGTGTACCTATTGGATGCTCAGTAAGACAGCTGCATTTGTGCAGAGCACAAGAAAAGGTTGTTAATGGTTAATATGTAGTGTTAGTGTGAACATGGTCAATATAATTATGTCATTACTGCCAGTGATAATTTGAACCATGGTGTGAGGGTGCAGTTTTGTTCATTGTTCAGCATGTAACTGCACTATCACAGTAGACACTGATCTCGAGACTGAAAGGTGCTGATGGGATGTGGCAGTTTTCAGAAGATGCAATCAGCTTTGATGTAATGGTAGATGTGAGAATTAACTGTATCCTATAACAAGGTATTATACAGTAATCTCAGCATGAAGTCCCCCTGACCATCATCGCCTATCTACAAGTAATCTTTAAAAGTGCCCAAGTCAAATATAGATGACAGTCCATGTGTATATTACCGATTTTTCAGAAAACGCAGCAGTGTAAGATTTCCTAGTAACTAATATAAAAAAGTCGAACTTAAATCTCTGCTCCTCGATCTTTGACATATTTGAACTTGTTGTGTATGGTTTTAATAAGCAGAGCCTCCCCCTTGTCAATTTCAATATGGTTTGTTACAAAATGATACAGGAATAATAAGAGATAAGTGTATCTAGAGATGATTGTCGGTACGTTGTTATGATGATCGCAGTTGCCTTGTCGGACAGGCAGTATCCCCGATTTATCCTCTTCTGGTTCTAAGGCAGCTTGTGATCAATCCAGAATGACATCCTGGATCAACGGAGGCTTTCCTGACAAACTGCTGTACAACTTAAGACATTAACATGTTCAGTGAGATTGGAATGAGTGAGTGAGTGAATGTTGTTTTCTGCTGCTGCAATATCACAGAAATATCACTAATCAAGTCTTGTCTGCAAACTAGGGTTGACAGTGTGAGTGAGTATAGTTTGGCGCCACTTTTAACAATATTCCAGCAATATCACGGCGGGGGACACCAGAAAAGGCATCACACATTGTACCCATGTCGGGAATTGAACCAAGGTCTTCAGCGTGACAAGCGAACGCTTCAACCACTAGGCTACCCGACTGCCCATTAACAGCATGAGCAACTGTTCAAGCTTTTGGGGTACGATCACATAATTCAACCAGGAGTGAGTGAGTGAGTGAGTTGGGTTTTAACGCCTCTTTTAACATATTCAAGTCACATCAGCGTGTCAGCTTGATGTGGGACGAGAGCCCAAAGTGATCATGTTGATGCAGGCCTTAGACATTAACCACCTTGGTGAAAGCCACGAGCATGGCTTGGTGCTGACAAACCTAGAAACATAGCCGGGGCGACCCGGGACGCGAACAACAGAACTGCTCAAGAGGTGTGTCGAACAGAATGCACTCTCTTTTAAAGGAGAGAACATTGTTATATCGTCAACATCCCATCTATGTTGTTGACTTGTTGTTTCTCTTATCTTGGCAATTATATCTTGATCATGTTGTAATTGTATTTATGAATCTGTATATTCTTGGTGTATAGATAAATCAATGTAAATGCCATGCTGATGGAAGATTAAATGTGAAATGAAAACATAAGTCTTTTGTAATATACAATATGTGATTTATATCCTCTGTGATGACGTGACAAAATGATCTATGGTTGCTATGGTAACAGTTGAGAATAGTACCAGACAGTATTACCTGTATACTCTGTGATCACTATGGTAACAGATGACAATGGTACCAGGCAGTATTACCAGTATCCTCTGTAATCACCATGGTAACAGATGACAGTACCAGGCAGTGTTATCACTATCCTCTGTGGTCACTATGGTAACAGATGACAATGGTACCAGGCAGTATTACCAGTATCCTCTGTAATCACCATGGTAACAGATGACAGAACCAGGCAGTATTACCACTATCCTCTGTGCCGACCATGGTAACAGATGACAATGGTACCAGGCAGTATCACCAGTATCCTCTGTGATCACCATGATAACATAACAATGGTACCAGGCAGTTTTACCAGTATATTCTTTGATCACCATGGTAACAGATAACAACAGTACCAGGCAGTATTACCAGTATCCAGTATAAGAAACATCAGAATTGCAGACCTGCAAGATTCTTCATACAAAATACAGACCAGCAGAGACCCCCCAAACACAGACATATTACTGATGCTAATCATGCTTATTGCACACATCGATCAAGTAGATATGTACCAATGTGTGCAATGGTCACCAAAATTGTGACATGCATAAATTTCACTGTTATTATTTCTCATCAAACCTGCACGTGGTGTCAGTGTTATCTCTTTAGAATATTGGGCGAAGCTTATGATGATAAAAATCAAAACAATGGGAAAATACTGTAGAGGATGGAAGCTTCCAGTATTTGTCATCAAAAGTAGAAAAATATCATGGAGCATTTTACTGATTCAAGAGCAGGGTTTTATGGGATGCGGAATTGTGCGTCCAGTAAGTGTATAGAATGGATGCGAAAAAAATATATATTGCGTCCCAAGGGACACACAATTCTAATCATTGCACCAACTTCTTGATGAGAAATATACAGTTCCTGTAATGACAGTAGTTATTAAACTTTACAATACAGTACAGTACAGTACACCATGGCATATTTTCTGTAAGGACCATTGAAATTGAGGGAGTGAGTGAGTTTGATTTTACGCCGCTTTTAGCAATATTCCAGCAATATCACGGCGGGTTACACCAGAAATGGGCTTCACACATTGTACCCATGTCGGGAATCAAACCCTGATCTTCGGCTTGATGAGCCAACGCTTTAACCACTAGGCTACCCGACCGCCCCTTGTAGGTCAAGGTAACACCCTGCAAGGTCTATATTTTAACCACATGACCAAAACCCTAGTCTGTATCCAGTAGAGCTGGAACACGTAGCGTAGGATAGACCATTGGCTTTACATTCTCATCTTTATAATGCCTGTTGTCACCCAGCAGTGCCTGGTCGTCCTACATAATGTTAATGTGAATGCAAACCCACATTATTAGGTACCATCGGTTGTATCATCCTCATGGAGCAGATAATGTAATTAAGTGCACAGCCGTCCATTGATGGGTTTAATACTGGTAACGTACCCTCCATGAACATGTCCCTCCACACAGTGACATCTTTGCTCTATAATGGCCGATTATCATGACCTTGTAATCAAAATAGTCTTCGAGGACGCGATCTGGCTCAAGTGTTAGTGACAGACCGCTATGTGACCAGTGATAATGAAGATGTGTTGAATTGAAGTCACTGACATCGACATGGTCTAGAGCACAAAACAGAAAATATCATCTAATATACCCCCCCGGGTTGCTAAAACTGATATATGTAAAACATTATAAAACCACTCAATCGGGGGAGTTAATACACAACAGCAATATATACAAGCACAACTAAAGTAAGGCTTTTGTTTCTCATGACACACCTGCCATAATCTCAATTTGTTGATGGTTCGTTTCTTGTGTAACGCTGCACACAAGATTACAGCTATACGATGACGGCCTGTACAGAATTGAGTCTGACCAGACAATCCAGTGATTGACATCATGAGCATTGATATGCAGCTGGAATACAATGACACCCGAGCCACTTTGTCGCCTCTTAGGATAAGCTGGCCTGCCGGGGTGCTATATTCTTATATTCTATATCCTATCCCCACGGGTCATAGTGTCAATATCGATACTTTATTTTTAAGACCCAACAGCCATTCAGATATTCACTATCAGCATATTCAATGTGAACAGTGATCCACGTATATATCAAAAACATCAATCTGGATCAAGATCACCTGGTCACGCTTAAGTAGCTCTATAAAAACGTCATATAAATATAAATTCATGTATCTTGACAAGAAAGTCACCAGAAACAAGATTAACGAAATTTATGAAAACATTATGCATGCATGCGATATCATCATGATCATACAATGGCTCCTAAATACAGTCTATCTGAAACAACATAGCTGATGTATTCATTCCCAAGAATATGTGAATACTGTACACAGAGGTGTGTGTCTTTGTTGTTTACTGCCATATAGCTGGAATATTGCTGAGTGCGGCGTTAAACAACAAACAAACAAAATAAATCTTTGTTGTTTAAAGCCACACAGCAAATTTCCAGCTATATGATCGCAATCTGTAGATTATCCAGTCCGGACCACATAATCCACTGATCGATATTGTGAGCAGCGATCTACGTCAATGGGGGCCGACGACATGGAGGCAACCAAGTCACCATGCCTGACCACCTGATTCATTAAGTTGCCTCTTACGACCAGCATCGGCTGCCGGGGCACCTTGCGTAACCCAGAACCCCAGGGGTACACATTAGTACTAAACAACTGACATTGTGATGTCCTGGAGGATATTGCAGACAAACGCCATTGCCTCAAGACAAGTTCCTGTGCTTGATGATTGACAAGCACAGATGCCATGGAGAGTTCCTTCCACTAAAATGAGTTTTCATCTCACTGGAAGCATCATGAGCATCCAAAATAAATGAGTTTTCCATATCCTAGAACATTGTGCCATTTGAACCAGGTATAGGCGACCCCATTCCATTATCTTCAACAGTATTCATCATCATCATCATCATCATCATCATCATCATCATCTAAGACTACTTCATCTCTGACCACTCCCGTCAGTCAACCCCTTCACTAGTATGGACAGTGTAGAATGTTCTCCAAGGTACTGGTCACATGCCATCCATCATAAGCCACTTGCTGAAGAATCCCACACAACACATCGCCAGGCGGTCGCAGTCCCTGACTTCAGTGAAACAACAGATCCTCAGTCATCAACATATAATTGCACATTCAATATTCATTGTTTTGAATCCATAGTCTGTCACCATCCCTCAGATAAATATTTGACAGCTAAACCTCCCCCAAAAGCATCCACATTCTTCATCTTTAACAAGTCTTCATCAGGTTGGTCCTTCCAGGTATATCCCAGTTCACTGTCAGGTCCAGAGGGGTGGAGGGGTGCTACCCCGTTTTTTTTCAGCCACCTTGACTTGGAAATGACACCTTGACTAGTTATTGAGCTGGATATGGTTCGAAAAATCCTGAATCCTCTAAGGAGACCAACACTTGGTCACATGACTACAATGGTCAGCTCTGTCGCTGGTTGTCACTGGTTCTCACTAGTTGTCACTGCAGGGTGGCTGACACCCTGCTACACACTTCTCCCTCTGTAAACCTCGGTGTGTCTTCCTGGCTATAATCTTCCTGAGTCCTTTTCTTCCATCCCGCTGGCAGCATCAACACCCTTCACCTCCACACCTGTCTCCGTGACCAGCAACTCCATCTTGTTCGCTTGCTTGTTCTTGAAGGCCTCAGCAATGGCCCTGGCTACGTCTGTGTGACCAAGGCCCACCATCGTCTGACCGTTGACCTCCAGAATCACATGGCCGACCTTCAAACCACCGGACTCAAATGCTGATCCTCCAGGCTAAAATACAAGATATAAAATATTGATGAAACTAATGTTTCTCACATGAAAAAAGTGTAACAATTTTATTGTTTTAAGTATAACATCAACCAAGATAAATTAAAGAAAATAGTGACCTTGAACTTGCCATTCCATCTGATGTGTTCAATAGAACGTCTGGTACCAGTCATATATTATAGGGTGCGTGATCAGAGGGAATTGGGAGGGTCACCAAAAAATACGACAGTCTCTTGAAGAGGGCCATAAAAAAAATTCACATATTCGGGGAGGGTCATGAAAAATGGACAGTATATAATAAAATACAAAGTACAGTAAACTACGGTTATAATGAACTCAAAGGGACTAATAATTTTCGTTCGTTATAACCGTAGTTTGTTATAAGCATATATACAGCATTACTACTGCAAATAGTCGGGACCACAAAGTAAGTGCGTTATATCCGTCAGTTCGTTATAAGCGTGTTCGTTTTATCCATACCGGTAGTCTACTCTATTTTAAATTGCATTTTGTTTGTACAAGGACACTGGGAGGGTCATCCAAGGGTCATTATTTTCTGTACATTAGTGCATAAAAAAACTCTGACCCCCACCCCCACCCAACCCTGCAATAAATGACCAGTCCCGAAATTATAACCAATACTAAATTGCCCCAATATTTTGGACCTAATCTGTGACCAGGGTGGAGTAGAGCACATCCCCAACAATCACACAACAATTAGTCATCCACATTAGGGCTGGGACGAGTCCTGATTTACTACCCGGGTACCCACACCCCTATTACCCGACCCTACCCGGGTACCCTCTGTTGGTGTCAAGAGATAGGTACCAAATTCCAGTTTGAAATAGTTTGACAGTAGCCTTGGTAAAATGTATTTAGAGACACGTATAAAACGATGTGGTCATGCATACACTGAAGTTGACTGAAGTTTTAGCTTTGTTCAAACATACATAAGTCAGAAGGAACGTCTTCATAGTCATGAAGAAATGCGAACATTCAAGACTTAAAATTGTCGTGTAATCATGTAGTTATATAGTGAAATTTTGTCATGAAACAATATATCACATGACTAACCACGGGTCTGGGTAGTCCTGTGGGTACCCGGGTCCTACTCAGTACCCACCCGACCCGATTACCCGAGTTACCCGTCCCAGCCCTAATCCACATGTACATTATCCTAATCTGTCTACTTCTACTAACGTGACGTGAATTTTGGTAAGTCTAAATTTTGAATGTATTTCTTTTGCTGTGTGACAAATTGCTATCTGACTGGACCAATGTTACCGGTACATTCAAACACCACTGGTGTGAACCCTTTTGTTTGTTTGGTTGTTTGTTGTTTAACACCACACTCAGCAATATATTCTAATTATTATTTTATACATTTCTATACTGCAGGTATCAAGGTACTGGTATCTGCTCAAATGCGGTTTTATTTGTTCCCCGACCAGTGGATCCGTTTGCATTCCGGTTATCATTCTCAACTTCCTGGGGACTTTGCAACCCAAGCTGCCTACAGCGACTAGCGTCTCTAGGGCTGGCTAAAAACATTGATAATCGAAATTATCGCTGATGAGAAGAAATATTAACAATTATCGATACGAAATTGTTGTCATCAATTATAACTTACATAAACTTACAAAAACAGACTTGTTACTGTCTGTAATGTCAATTGTCGAAGACGGAAAGCAACTGTTTTTGTTATATCTCAAACATCCACAAAGTAATCAATGCACTCATGTGTTACTCCTCACCAGTGGCTTCTCTGATATTTATCGATAATTGATCTCCATAATCTCCTGTGTATAGGTTGTGTGTGGTAAAACTCTGGAATCATACCTGTACATTGATGACCCGTGGGAGTGGCTGCCTGGTGTTGGCCCCGCCCTCTATCGCCAGCCCCAGGGTGGGTTTAGTTCTGTACAGGCTCACCAGGTGGAGTGGGATGTCGCCGTACACCTCCCTGAACTTGGCCTTCATTGATTCCTCCTGAGAAACAATATGGTTGACATGGGTCAAAACATTTTAGAATATAACGTAAACAATCTGTATTATGGAATTATAGTGCTATTTGTGAAAGGCTAAGGAACTAAACATTGGCCTGTGTGAAGAGTGAGTGAGTGAGTATGGTCTTAAACTGCCTAAAGCAATATTCCCGCAGTATCATGGCTGGGGACACCAGAAATGGGCTTCACACATTGTACCAATGTGAGGAATCAAAACCGGGTCTTTGGCGTGACGAGCGAACACTTTAACCACTAGGCTACGCAACCACCCAGTGATAAAGCACATCAATCAGCGATATTATAGCTATATCGCAAAACAAACCAGTGGTTGATAACATGAGCAACAATCCACACTATCAGGACAGGATGCTGCAGGTCAGCCAGGTCACACCGCCTGTCACGGTCACACCGCCTGTCACGGTCACACCGCCTGTCACGGTCACACCGCCTGTCACGGTCACACTGCCTGTCACGGTCACATGCCTACTATCTGCCCTGTTATGATGATGGGGATGAAGCTACTGTTTATTGTACAATGTGACCTCAGGCAACCACTTCGCAAGTTCTTCTGATGCTGAGTTCAGTGCAGGCAAACAGGGAACTGATAAGGAACACGCGGCAGCCATCATTGCCAACCAATTCTCATTTACAACAGTGTAAGGACAAACACAACACAAGGAGGGGTACAAATCCCAGTTTTCATCACATACACGCAACCGCTAAGAAGAAGAAGAAGAAGAAGAAAAAGGAGAATGAATGAATGAATGAATGAATGAATGAATCATAATAATAATAATAAAGAGCATTGACACCCTCACAAGAAGCATCATGACAGACAATAGATCCCACCCCCCCCCTCTTCCCTCAATCGCTTATATTTACCAATCATAATGGGAGGGCGTGGTTTGATTAACGCGGAGGTTCTTCATGATAGAATTGTATTGTCACCTTTGCACACATTTATTTGTCTGATGATCCAACTGTGAAGTATGTCAAGACTCATAATAAAAACAAGGCATTCCACAGTTTCCATAAACGAGCCAAGGATGTGGGACATAATCTCAATGTCAGTGTTGATTTTGTGGATGGCCCCTTACTGCTGGACTGTACAGAAATGAGTGTCAACCAAAAGAAGGGCCATATTATATCGGACCAGAATCAAGTTGATGTGCACTGTGTTGAGAAGATCAGCAACCCTGTAGATTCCTATGCTTGGATGAAGTCGGATGGCCTGAAAAGTGGCCTTATCAGGGCCAGTCTCTTCCCACTCAAAACCATCAATGTGTGATTTTGCATCAAGACATAAATATGAAATGAATTATATGAGTCTGTACAACATATGGTCAGTGGATGCCAAGCTTTGGCACAATCACAGTATCTAAAGCAACATGATGGAATGGCTCGATCCTTTTATTACCGTCTTCGCCATGCTTGTGGTTTGGACAGAGGTCCATCCATGGTATGACCCAGAATATGTAGAGGGCGTCATGGAAAATGATAAATACAAAATACCTTGGAATAGGCCCCTATACAGCCTCAGACGTTTCCAGGTCAACAAACCTGATCTTGTCCTTTTTGATAAATTCTATGAAATCATTCATATTATTGAATTTGTTGTCCCTTTTGACACTAATGTGATTGACAAGATACAGGAAAACGTGGCAAATATGTGGACCTCGCTTTGAAAATGTCACGCTTGCATCCAAAGTGCCAAGTTGTCTGACTCCCCATTGTTCTCAGAGCCTTAGGTTTGGTACCTCCCAATCTGTTGACTGACACTGGGAGAGTACCCGGGTTTGCTGCCAGGAATACAGCCCTTCTGACAATCTGGGTACTGCACAATGTTGGGGAGTCTTCACATTCTCCGAAAAGTTCTAGGTGGGTTCAACAAGGCAGTGCTTCCTGGGAGAAGTCCCATTCGCTGCCTGGGCTGCGTGTAGAGGGGGAAAGGACACTGAGCTGATGATGAGCCTAACCAGCCTGACTGTTCCAGGATCACCCAAAGCCTCTTTGCTGCATTTGTTAATTTTAATCTGTACAAAATAATAATAATAACAAAATAATGAATATATTTTTTAAATAATATGATAAGAATATTTTTGTATAATAAGAATGATTTTTGTAAATAACAACAATAAATATATTAAACAATAATGATAAATAAAAATGTTTTAAAAATGACATGATATTTTTTCAGAATAAGAATTATTTTAAAAAGGACAATAGTAACACTTATAATATTTAAATGATAATAATAACAAAAACCTTCTCATGCTGTTCATTATAAGCAACATCGGCTGCGGAGTAGACCGTGGGCCTGGGGATGCGGAATGGCTCAACAGACAGACATCCCTCCATCCAAACCACCACCATCCAGATGGTCGGCCCCGTGGTCGGCACCGTCGTCAGCACAATGGCAAGCTGGACTGATACGAACTGAAAGTCAGCCCATCCTTCAACACTGCTAATGTCCTTCAAGCAATGGGGGTATTACACGGATACCAAGTCCTGATGTAGCCCAGTTGGTGATCGCTTGCTGTGAATAGATCCACGACTAGAACTTCCCGAGCTTCTTGACGACAGATTCCTCCATAACCATAATGATCATCATCAGTTATCATCAGTTGTCGTCATAATCGTACGTTATTATAAGATAAAGTTATCACCATAATCATCAGTTAAGATCATCACCTAGGATCTAATCATCAGTTAAGATCATCACCTAGGATCTAATCATCAGTTAAAATCATCACCTAGGATCTAATCATCAGTTAAAATCATCACCTAGGATCTAATCATCAATTATCCTCAGTTATGATCAATTATCCTCATCTTGTGTGACTACAACTACCGCCCAGTTTCTCCTCCTGTCACGATGTATGACACATTTCGTCACTATATTCAACTGATCTTCCATTCCAAGCTGCATCAAACAGAGGAAGAACAGTCAGCTTCATCATCCAAACTGAGGCGAGATTGCAGACATAGTGCAAGAGTTGTCTTCACAGCATCATTCAAGAGGATGACATTCCCCCACAAACACATCCATGCAAGGAACATCAGGGTCTACAGACAATGGTCAATAAGCTGAGATCGTTTCTTCTACTCCACTCTCGGTTATGAAACCTTATCACAGAAAGATATGCCATAAATCAAACAGTGTTAAGTAACAAATGATTCTTGTACTTTCAGACTGTCCTTCAGACATCACTAACATCAGAGGTCCTTGCCCTCAAATGTATCTGTATCATTCCTACATCAACAACAACCAACTTCATCCTGACACCAACGACATACTATCCATCCAAGCATACACAGTGTATCATATTTCCTGCTGCGAAGTCATTAAGAATATCCACAAAAAGCAGCATATCCTGAGATTATTGTACACTGCGTTAACTCCAGGAAGGACATCAAGATTAATTAAGGTTGTTTATGATCAGAGTTTCTGAAACACCCACTCCTATCTCACTCACATACAACACAGCCGTGACCTTGAGAAGCCCATTACACAAGGAGTAAGTCTAGATGATGGATATCTTTAAGAAACTACATAAATCTTTTCTATGATATAACCAGATTGGATGAAGGTAACATTGGTTTCATCTTCAACTGGTGATCATTTTTTCTCTAATGTTTCATACAATTTTTTTTCGAAACCACGAGGATATATTCTGTAACAAAACCAAATTGGGTAAAGATCACAATTTCACTTTGATCATATTTTTCAACAGTTGATACTTTCTTCTTGAGACCTGCAAATTCTCATATGATTTTGAAACAGTGAAGATTTTTTTATGACATAACCATCATGATCACAATTTTCAAGGGTTGATATTTTTTTCTTCAAAGTACCTTACATGTTATAGAAACAGCATAGATAATTTCTGTCACATCACTTATTTAAACAGCAAAACTGGTTTCAATTTTGTCTTTTCTCAACAACTAAATATTTTGTCTTCAATGTTCCTTGTTATATTTCAGAAATAATAAGTCTTTTCTATTATTTAACCAAATCGAATGACGGTAACCATGGTTTCACTTTGATGATATTTTGAGCCACTGATCAATCCTTATTCAATGCATATACTTCACTAATTCATCAATGAGTGAGTGAATGCTGCCTGAAGCGGCGTCACCAAAATGATGTCATAACGCTGCGGTCGGACACATTCCCTGAAGGTCAAGGACACACATGGAAATATCGGCAAGGGCAATGTAAGTTGTCACTGAACTATCCAAAAACAAAAATATTCACAGCAACACAGCCATCCAACACCATCTTCAGCAACTGTAGTCAATACTATTGTCAGCAATATGAATGCTTATGGATAATTGATTGACATGTCCATTAGGTCATTCGGGTGATGTCATGACTACTGACCATTACACAGTCGCTGGTTTCATTATTTACACTGGATGACTTGATGACAGTCCATACCATTCCACTATATTCCCTTCCGGACTGTCTATATCAGCGCTGATAGCAAGGTCGTAAACAATCAGGACCGTTTCTCTATAGTGTGACTGATCATTGGATCCAGTGAGTGATCGATGAGTGAAAGTCACCAAAAACCATTAGATGAGTGGTGTTGGCAATGTCTGGTGTCTGTTATATCAATTCACTGCCCCATTTTGCTTCGATTCCTGAAATGATGTCCGTTTGAATAGCATGACGTATTCCCATCCATCAGTGGTGTGTAGTCAACAGTCATCTGTCAATACATTTCTACATCTCTCACGACACGTTTCTGTATCTCAACTAACCGTTCCATCACAAGGTTCCTGTGCAATTGTAATTATAGGAATTGTGAACAATGCATCACAAGTGTCCACCTGCTGATCCAATTCATCCATCAGTTCAACTGTTCAACTAAATGTCGACATTTAATTCAACATTCTGAATTTGTCACTTCTTACCGCAGTTGTTCAAAATACTATGGATCCAGTACGTCTCATCATTTCATCGTTAATGGTCTCTGA